TTACGAATTTTCTTTTGGACCTAAATGTCCCTCCGACCTGTGCGCAGGAGGCAGGGATTTTGGAATTGAAAGGGTTCTTGAGGAGAATCTCCATATACTATTTGTTTAGATGAAGGAGCGAGATCATATAAGACATAAGACTAAGAACGACTATAGGTTTGGGTCGAGTGGGTTTTTCTATGTATAATTTTGAATTACCATTTTAAAATCGTGATCATCACATAACCAAAATTACGCGGATGTAATATATCCATTGGAACCGAACCGGATCAACGGTCGGGTCATTAGAACTGTCAAACTAGTTACGATAGCGGTCTGGTTCATTGTTTGAACATTTATTAATGAACCTAACGGTTTTTTACTGTTCAACATAAAATCAGATGAACCAACACGGTTTAACTGGTAAACTGGCTCACTATTTTAACAAAAAAAAATGATTTAACTGGTCCACTGGTCGACTTTACGTTGTCTACTACCGATTAGAACTGTAATTTTTAATTTGAATTAAAAAAATATGGTTTCTTTTGTGAGATGGTTTGAATGATTTATTAGATATTTTGGTGATGATATGAATTTGAACTTGTTTATGGTCATTGATAATTTCATTTTTAAATTAGTGTAATATACAAGTCTTATATGTTATATTTATATATCATGAATGGTTCTATCAACGGTTCACCAACGGTTTTGTAACGGTTAACCGCTGAACCCTAAACCACTAACGTTTCCGGTTCAGCCTTCGGTCCGGTTCTGAAAACAGAGAATATAACTAGGATTGTTAATGAATCAATCCGCTCATGAACGGTTCGGTGTCCGACTCAATAAAAATTCGTTCATGTCACTCGATTTGTTTTAATCGAGCCGGCTCGCAAACAAACTCGTTAACTAAACGAGCCGAACTTGAGCAATACCAGGTTCAGCTCGAAAGCTTGCGAACAAGTTCATTTAACGGTTTGGCATAAGAAATTATTAGAATTCATGAATTTTATGTATTGAAATTGGAATAAATATTGTGTTTTATTTTGCTAGATTTTGCTACAGGTTGAATGTAATTTTGTGCCCAGTTCTAGGTCAATCTTGAGCTATTATGAACATTTTATGAGCATAACTCGATTTTGGACTCGTTAAGCTTATTTGACGAGTCGAGCTCGAGCTTTCATTTTCATAAATGAGTCGAACTCGAGCTTGCATATTAAAACTCGTGACGAACATGAACCGAGCTCGAACCTGGAAATATATTAGCGAGCCGAGTCCGAACTATGATAAAATTCGGCTCTGATCGGATCATTAACAGCCCTTAATATGACATACCAACAGTGGGGAATCCAGAATTTTTTTATAGGGGTGTCATCCAAACTTTAAATTAAATCAATAATTAAATTAAATAATTCATAAATCAGAAAATGACTAATACAAATTTTAACAAAAGGCTATAACGCGTTTTTATATTCTGAAAAAGAATATAAAATACATTTGGTGTCTATATTGGTCAACAAACATGTATATCCTACTAGACAATAATTCACGAATTGATCGCATATTCGATATCTAACTTTGCTCTTGATATAACTCAAAGTTAAAAAGACTTTCAACACTTGCAGTGTAACCATAAATCAATTCAAATCAAGGGTAGCCCATAATTAAGTTAATGTTAGGTTTTGAAAATAGTTGGGGATAAGGAATAACGTTTTTACTATTACATAGTGTTTAACATATAACAACAAACGAGTTGCAACCTAATGGAGAATATGTTTAATAATAGTAGTGTCTTAGGTTTGAATAACATAGATTATCAGTTTATCACACAAACTACTACCGAAGGTAGAATAATTGTTTTTTCATATTTTAGGGGTATCCCAAATTACCAATTATATTTTCTTATATCCGTACGAAACTAACTACCGGGAGTTGAATAATCGTTTCCCAAAATTTAGGGGTGTCCTGGGACACCCCCCAAAGACCCCATGTATCCGCCCCTGCATACCAACATCAACCCGTATGCATGTGGTTTAAGAAAAACCCACCTACACCATCCCTGAATAGTGACATATAAAGTTCTTGATAAGGTGAAACCGCTTCTCTCTCTTGTTTTTCTTTTCAAACTTTTTCTATGGCCTCTCCGACGATCGGCGACAACTCTCCGCCGCCCCCTCCTGCTTTTCTTTTTGTGTTTTCAGATTCCAACTCTTTTTGCTTTTCTCTTGATTTCTTTAACCACTCTTTGGCATGCTTTATCTGCTTGTTTGGTTTCCCCTTGTGGGTTGTGTTTCTTCCCTTTCGATTGGGTTGATTTTTGGTCCTCTGTTATATTGTTTCAGAACTAGAGATGCATGTCCTTTCGAAGATGTAGGGAGGCTAGATCTGTTCTAGATCTGGCTTGTCTTCTCCCCACCTTTTCCATAGTTTATCTCCTTGTTCTCACCTTGCATATCTTCGTGGTTCGGAGATGAACCCTATGACGACGGACGCGATTTTGGAGAAGTTGAAGACAGAAGATCGTATCCCCTCTGTTTCCTCCGTCGGCGACCGATTGAGTTTGTTTGGTTTCCCCTGTGTTGTGCTTGGCGGGAGGCAAACGGTTTGTTTGGCTCGGGGTGGTGCGTTTCGAGATATTTCTCCTTCTCCCTACCATCCGAGTTTGGCAGGAACTGATCCTTGGCTCGACGAATGGTGGCGATGTCATGGTAGCGTTGCTTGGTTCAGGTGAGCGGCGGTGGCAATTTCGGCCACGACGGCAGGGATCTCAGAGGGGGGCAATGGCTTGGCTGCTAGTGTTGAAAGATTAGAGGATTTGTTTTTGGATCTTGAGCTTATGGCTCTATTGAGTTTCGGGCTTAGTTTGGGCCTGGTTATCTGCTAATTTTTCAGCCTTTGTTGTTTATTGTTGTGTCTTTTCCTTAGGGCCTTGGCCTGTTTCATTCTTAATGAGATCCACTATAAAAAAAATTATTGATATAATCTAAATGTCAATGTTAATTGAAGTTTCTTGTCACTTTGTTTGTAAAAGTAAGAGAAAATGAGTAAGGTTTTAGGTCTAAGAGATAATTATAATGTTTGAGGCATGTGGATGAACAAAGTGTTTAAGTAATTAAGTGAGTGTAGAACATATTTATAACTTATAACACAATTCAGGTGGGTTTGGTGTGAATACTAAAACACGAAAAAATCACACCAAATCTATTACCCTCCTTGCCGAGTTCAGAAAACCCACCCAAAGATTCGATTTCCCCCCAATAAACCGATTCAAATACGGTTTGAGTACTCACAGTGATGCGTTGTTTTGTTATCACTAGATAAGAGGAAGAGGAGAGACAAGATTGCATTAGTCACATTTAGAAAGAGAGACCATGAGGATGACATTTGATTTGAACAAAATTTGTAGAAGCAATCTAGTTTAGGACTTTGTTACAGTGACTTGGAAAAAACGGTCGACCCATAAGTGTTTGCGGTAGACCGAACACACTATTCTCTGTTTTGATACATTCAACAAGCGGTTGACCTGATGGCACACAAGTCGACTTGATGGCTGAAGTGGTCGACCACTTTAAAAAATGGTCGACCTCACATCAACTTTTTGTATGTGTTCCCTTTTGTCTGTATGCTTAATCCTTTTGCATATTGATATAAGATTCATTTTGCATATATGTGCGAACTATGCGAGGTGCGTTTATTATATTTTGGTGTTAATTATTAAGCTTTTAAGGAGATACGATTTCTTACTAATATGATTGTCGATTGAATTTCATAATTTCTACGGTAGTTTGTTATATTTTAGAAAGTACATGACATTCTGGGTTCTATGAGGTCGATTGGACTATTACAGAGATCGACCGGAATAGACAACAACTGAAGATATTTGTTCTTGTACAAGGTCGACCGTAAAAGCAATCATTTTAATCTACCAAGATGATGGTTTGTTAAATTTGAGGGTGAAACGCTCTTCCGTGTGATTGACCTCTTCTCTAGAATGGTTGGCCTCATCTTGATGTGGTCAACCTACTTTGATGGAAAGGTCAACCACTTCTTGATATGGTCGACCACTTTGCTGGAAAAATTGACCTTTTTGTCTATGAGTCTCTCACACGTGATCGACCGGTCCATTCTTTAGGTCGACCACTTTCTTTCTTCGGAATGACCACATTGGTGTAATCGGTCGACAATAACTACTTACTGATCGACCGTTTTGTTCAAATTATTGTGACTTGCAAGACATCATAGACATACCCTCTAATTTATCAATGCACATAACGAAGGCCGTACCTAAATTATAACATAAGGGTTTTTCTTAAACCTACGTAGTTTTGTCAATTGCCTTGTGAGATTGGATCATTTTGATGAAACCAACTTGATTCGACGGAGGTTCAAGATCGTAGCACTACAACAATATTGCCCTTTTTTTACCATTTTTCAAGCAACCATGTTTTTGTGTTAGTAAAAACCTAGTTGTTTGTGATTAATTATATTTTCGTAATGTAAGGTATGATGAATTGGTAACTAACTATGGAAAAAAAAAATTACATGACAAGTTCTTATAACAAAATAGATAAAGTTTGAAATTTTCAAAATGATAAAAAAAAAAGAGTCAAATCTTCTAGAGTTCTTCACAAAACTCATGGAGTAATTTTCTCCACAACAACCTTATCATTATTTATCTACTTATTCGTATAACCTGCGCTATTCATGCATGATATCTCGTATAAGAAAGTGCAAGTTCGGTGGCAGAAAATTCCAACATACAAAAACCATACGTCCTAACAAATGACCATCTTTTGCATATAAAAGTGCGCAACCAAAGGCTTATATATCATCTTCAATTTCATACTAAGCTGAAATCAAAACCAGGAAACATCAATGATGCACACCAACAACAACAAGCCATTTTAGTGGCGTTATTTCTCTTATCGACATTAGCCATCACATGCGAGTGTCGGAACCCATATAACCCATTGGGAGAGAAAAAAACCGTGGAAGTGAGGAACGAGCTGGAAGGAGGGCCGAAGATGATGCTTCACTGCAAGTCCGGAGACGACGATCTGAAAGTGAGAACGTTAATGCCTCATCAAGGATTCCACTGGACATTCCGGCCCAACTTCTTCGGAGGAACGCTCTTCTTCTGCGCCATGGACTGGGGAGAGGGAGGGCTTCATTGGTTCGACATCTACGTCAATTACAGGGACAACAAGAGGTGCAAATTCTGCAGCTGGAGCATCAAGAAGAGCGGGCCGTGTTTGGTGTTTAAGGATCGTACGTCTTGTTATCATTGGAAGCCACAAAAGCATGTGGTGGAGGGAGTATATAGAAGAGTGATAAATTAATGTTGGTTCTTTTTAGAATTTTTCATCCGAAAAAAAGAAAACTATGGTGATCAGTTATTATTAATTCTCTCGGTTTAGGTGGACGAGAGATGTTATGGCTAGTCTTATGTTTTGTGAAATCGTTTTTTAGCCAGACGATCGAGGTGGTTTGATAGATTTGGTTGTATTTTGGGATTTGTTACGAAGTTGGTATCTTATAAACAATAAAAGACTTAGCATGCATTTCTAATCTCTCTACACACGGTCTCGATTTCCATCTCCGTCCGGTCCTCCTCCGGAATCTTTCTTATCACCGATAGGCAATCCGATTCAATCAGCAATGGTCGATATCGGTGAATGATGCTCAGATTCAGTGCCCAGAATATCGCCTTCGCTTCTGCTAATTCGGGCGACCAGGCGGTTCTTGTCCGGTGTGCTGCTGCCATTATGAAGATCTCAGCTCCATCTCTCACCACCAAGCCGAAGCATGTGCCTCCTTCCTTCAAAATTGCCGCATCAACATTCACTTTGAAGCTGTCTGCTCTGGGTTTCTCCCATTTGTACTCCATTTTAGTCACCCATAGGTTCGTGTTCTTCACCTGAGCTGTTATGTATGCTTCCATATATTGCTCCGATCTTGCGATTATCTCCCATTCTTCCAATTTTAGATTATTAAATAGGTGATTATTTCTTTCTTTCCATAGGAACCATGGCGCTGTTACGAACGATCCCAACTCCTCATCCGTTGAATTCTCCATTACTTCACAAATCCACTCTTCACTAGATTTCCCATCAGCCATAATGAAAAATCTTGCTTAGCGAGCTAGGTCGCCACACTCTACCTGCCTAGTCACAATCACGGGTAATGTGTTCTTGCGTTTCGAGTCATCCGCAGAATGGATATCCATCATACACATCTTGAATTCGTCTTGCCAAATTTGGACCTATCAGTAGTATATTGCTTCCCCATCTCCATGAAAACCCTAATTTGAACCTATCAGTAGTATATTGCTTCCCTATCTCCATATGAAAACCCTGATTTTTGGGGGTATCTGTAGATGCCATAGTCTTTTCCAGTCGATGGGGATGTACCGCTCCCCCTCTATGTTCTCTCTTTTACTTCTCCATAGTAGGCCGATTTCACAGAGTATCTTCCTAGTTTCTCCGGTCTCATACCCTTGTATCTTCAAATGGGTGAGCTGGTAGTGGAATTTTTCGAATTCTTCTTCGATCTTCTGAATGAAAATATGTCTGTAGGAGGTTGCTCCACCGACCATGAATCCCATCGCCGACAAGACGGGTGAACAATCTGATGAAGCTGCAGCCAGGTTAGGGAAGTGGGAGAAGGAGGTTGGTTGGAGACGGGGGACCAGGAATTGAAGGGGATTTTGTGGAACTGTTGAAAGAGGCAGGGAGATTGGAATTCGACGGAGATGGATTGGTAATTTCGGGTCTGGAGTCGGTTTGTAGGTCGAGCCGGTTTAAGGGCTGGGTTGGGAGAACTTGACATGGCAAATTTTAGTGACGTGGTGGGTTACATCGCGTCTCGGTTAGATTGACAAAGCACTTTCGTTTGCCACGCCAGCACTTAACAAACTCCATTAACGGAGCTGGACGGAGACTAACGGAGAGTGACCAAACATGGACTACCATTATTGGAATTAAATATTTTTAGTGACCAAACGTGAACGTTTTTTTATAATCTCAGTGACCAAAATTGCAACTTACCCTTTATTCCTTATACGTATGATGAATAGTTGCATTATTAAGAGGAGATTTTTTTTTCTCACTTAATTTGGTGATCTTATTGTTATATTAATTTGTACAGTTAGATTAAAGTATTGCACTGCTGCATAACCTCGTCTAGTATGAGGATTCAGTGGAATGGTGGGCTATCTGAAAGTTTCTCGCCATCGAGAGGACTTCGACAGGGCTGTCCGCTCTCACCATATTTGTTCACTCTATGTATGGAACGATTAAGTCATCAAGTGAAGACGGCAGTTACGGCAGGCGCGTGGAAAACAGTCAGGATCTCGGCAAATGGGCCAGCATTGTCACAGTTATTTTTTTGCAGATGCTCTGATTCTGTTTGGCGAGGCATCCATGCAGCAGGTAGCGACCATTATGAAGTGCTTGGATGACTTCAGTGCTGCCTTTGGCCAACAAGTCAGTAAGCCGAAATCCCGGGTCTTTTTCTCGAAGAATATCACAGTATCAAAGGGGGCAGAAATTCCTCGGCTTTGGGGATCCCGGAAACGAAGAATTTGGGTCGGTATCTCGGCGTCCCAGTTATACATGATCGGGTGTCGCAGGCTAACTTTGTTGATCTTGTGGATAAAATAGACTCTCGCCTTGCAGGTTGGAAATGTAAGACTCTTTCTCTGGCAGGACGTATAACTCTTGCTCAGTCGGTCCTATCCTCGCTGCCATCATATATCATGCAAACTACTTTCCTTCCTGCGAGTGTGAGGGACTACATTGACAAGAAAATCCGGACGTTTATATGGGGTAGTTCGGAGGGAGGCAGGAAGGTTCATCTGATTGATTGGGAAACTATTTGTCGCCCGAAAGATGAAGGGGGTCTTGGGCTTCGATGCGCGACCAGGGTGAAGGAAGCCTTTATGCTCAAAATAGCTTGGAGGCTGATAGCAGAACCCGAGAGCTTATGGGCTAAAGTTGTTCGGGCAAAATACCTTCGACGAACCGAGGAGGGATGGCAGCCGAGAACACAAGGACGCTTTTCAAACCTGTGGCGTTCTCCGAGTCCTGCACTTGCTGCCAGACGCAATCATGTGGAATATAAAGAGAGGCAAAAGCACCCGTTTTTGGACGGATCGGTGGCTGCAGGATGGTCCGGTTCTAGCTGATTTGGCTATGAACCTCCCGCAAGAGGCACTATCACTGACGGTAGCCGAGCTAGTTCTTAACGGTCAGTGGAACCTGCAGTACTTACGTGTTTTTTTGCAGGAGGAAATAGTCAGTCTCATTCAGCTCCACCCAGTCCCGAATGAAGAAGGTGAGGATGTGGCAGTCTGGCGTTTAACTCCAGATGGTTGTTTTTCGTTGAAGTCGGCATATACATTGACAGAGGTGGAGGAGAATCCAGGCGGCTCACATCCTATGTGGAGGACGCTATGGCGGCTCCCTGCAACTCAGCGGATTAGAGCTTTCTTTTGGCTTGTAGCGCACCAGAGGCTGCTCACTAATTGTGAAAGGCGACGGAGACACTTAACCACTGTGGCCACTTGTCAAATTTGTGGAGGAGACGACCATGCACGTCATTCACGATTGCCCCTATGCTCGTGCTGCCTGGGCGGAGTTCCTACAAGAGGAGCCCGATGAAACTTTTTTCCAAAATGACCTGAGCAGATGGATCCTACACTACCTTGCTGGCCGCAGCTTGCATGTGGCACCAACCAGGTTTGCAGTGATGTGTTGGTCTCTTTGGAAGAACAGGAATAAACTGGTGTTTGAAAAGGAGCTCGAGTCGATACACTCACTAACCTGCAGAGTGGTGATTATGGAGAAACAGATTGAGGAGGCGGAGACTAAGGCTGCCCGGGTCTTCGCGGGAAGCCAAGCCACTACCCGGAGGCTCATTGCTTGGACGCCACCCCCGACAGGTTGGGTATGCATTAATACAGATGGTTCGGTGGTTAGTGGGAACGCGGCGACGGGAGGGGTTATCAGACGGGACGACGGCCGTATGCTGAGAGCTTTCTCGAGGAACTTGGGAGAAGGATCAATTACTAAGGCAGAGTTGGCAGGCATAGTTTTTGGATTGCAAACAGCTTGGGAAATGGGATCCGGCAGGTACAAGTCCAAACTGATTCCCTCTCAGCTATTCAACTTATTGGAAGCGCAGGGGAGCGGCATCCCCATTTGGCTTTGATCTCGGAAGTGCGTCGGCTACAAGCTCTCGACTGGCAGGTAGAAGTTATTCATGTGTGCCGGGAAGGGAACGTCGTTGCAGACTACCTCGCCTCTCTTGGACATGGACGTTCGCCTGGTGATCACTTTGTGGATGCTCCTAGTCCGCTCTTGAACTACTGGATGTACTTTGACTGTATTAGAGTTCTTACTCCTCGTTTAGTAAGCATTGATTGAAGGTTGGGGTGCCCTTAGCACCCCGTTCCCCACCAAAAAAAAGTATTGCACTGCATGATTAAAAAAAATTAGACTTAAATTAATTTGTTAAGTACAATGGTAACATAACAATTTGGACGGACACCCTTTCTTTCTCTGTCTTTGTGAGTGACTGGCAGTCGCATAGTAAGTCTGTCAGTCCTCTCTCTCTCTCTTCATTCCGGCCCATTCCACGCTTAATTTCCCTTTTCCTCTTTGCCCATCTCATTTTTTTTTTGGTAATCTTATTGTTGGGGAGGAAGGCATGCATATACGTACCACGCTTAATTTCCCTTTTGCGGGTCTCCGCCTATTCCTCCCTATGTAAGAGTGAACATTACTTATCATGCATGCTGACCGGCCGGCACCAGATTCCGGCGAGTGGTGGCCACCGGAAGTTGGGGAAATACGAATACAGCTACAAGGACGGTACGTAGTAGTCACATATATATACAACCGCATTCTCTCTGTTCATTCTCTTATATATATATATCAACAATCTCAGATTCGGATCTTCTATTTAAACAATCTTTATTTTCACGAACCCAGTTTCTCAAACTTTTTCTTCTTAATTAATTATTGTTCACGCACCAAAACAGAAAAGCTATTGGCGCATGATATCCACCACTAACCGCCAGTTTTTTTTTTTTTTTGTTACGATTGCGAGGATTCCGGCGAGCGGTGTCACCGGAGCGGAAGACACGTACATGAACGACGGTACGTCGTCCTTCTTTTGCTCTAATTTCGTTTTTTTTTTTCCACCTAAAAACCTCAGCAAACGGAAAATCTTTCTCTTCATTTTCCCTTAATTATTTTTGTGCTACCAGCCAATGAAACATCGCCACGTGTTAGACCATTATTTAATCATTTTCCTTAATTACACTACTCCCTTAATTTCCAGTAATCAGTTGTAGTTAAATTAGCATGTGAATATTGTCTGTCTAGTATTAATGGACAAATTAAATTAGATTGTTTAGCTGGGTAAATTTGGATTCGTTCAATAAACTGATACACTATTAAACCGGACGGGACGGAGAAGCATTTTACGGGTTTATACTTTATATAGGCTGTTCCTCCCATTAGGTTTTATCATAGATTTAGAAAACTAATTAACCCCTTCATTTCGGCAAATTAGGTCTTCATTAGTAGGATTATTATTATTATTATTGTGTTTGAGAATATTAATTTCATAGAATTAATTTTAGCATTTGGCGTAGATGAATTTCCTATGAGCATGTTCTTATTTATTAGCATAGTTAGTAAAATACGGTACGGGAAAGTTACGTAAAAGATACGTACGGGCATTATACTTCATCTTTAAGCTAAAATTACGGTTAATAGTACGTTAATAGTCATAAATATATAAAATTAATCATTTTAAAAATAAATAAATATAGAAATAATAGTAAAGTTAACAATTTAATTCGTAAAATACGGATAATAAACGTGTTATACGGGTTTTATACGTGTTTAGTACGGGAACCATGAAATGAACGGGGGAAAATGAAACGGCTTGACAATAATACGGATACGGAAGTTTTAAACGGATAAAGTACGTACGGGTACATATACGTGTATTAAACCGAGTATTTACTAACTATGTTTATTAGTACTGAAACGATTACCATTTGGCGTACTGATTTTTTTTTTTTTTTTTTTTGAGGGTGATACTGATTTATTACTAATCAAATGAGAAGAAAAAGAAGTTAATCAGGTACAACTACTAAAAACAGACTAGGCCATACCGTCAAAAATGAAAGGACTATTCGCCCAGCTCTCTCAAGAACAAAAATTAAGGCAATGCAGAGAAAAGGATGCATCATATCATCGTCAAGCATTTTAGCTAGCTAATCCCCTGTGGTATGATGAATTGATGATGGTAAAGTACGTGCAAGTCCAATCAAATTATGTTCCTCTAAAGATCGAGTTTATTAATTAAGGAAACAGTCAGAGTTTGAATGATGGATGGATGGATTAACGCAGACTTGAAAAATATGCCACAAAGGTGTAACGTCCTCGTTGTTCTTTCACTAAACCAAGAACAAATAAAGCTAAAGCAAGTGGTCCATGCATGGACGTACGCGTACGCACGTGATCGTTTTGTTTCGGTCAATTATATTACAGTCTGCCATGCACGATCTCCTTGCACGTACGTTGACGTCGGAATTGAGAGTACACACACACTCTGCCGATCGAACTCAGAAGTTAAAGCAAGAGATCCAATGATGGGTTTTGTGGTCCATGTATTATATTTATGGGGCTTCATCAGGTTGTTTTGTGGTCCTTAAACGAACCCTAAATTTTTTTCGTGGGAGCCCTACACTATCTTTTCTAAATAACAATAACTGGAAACCCTAATTTCCCGATTCCTTTTCTCCTCTCGAAACTAATTATGGCTTCTCATTGGCAGGAAGTACGTACCAAATCATCATCACTCAGACGTGGTAGGTGTATCTACTAATTAATTAATTAATCTCTCGACAAACAGATTGAGATTACATTAATGATTATATAATTAGACTAATTGTGGGTGATTGGCATAGTTGAATTAGCATGTGAATATTGTCTTGTAGTATTAGATTCTGTAGCTGGGTAAATTTGGCGCTAATACAGTATACATAATATTGATGAGTAATCGATCGCCGGAAAATATAGTACTAGTATATATTTTTTAAAAATCATGATTTAATTGTGGTTCTATAATTTTATACCGCTAAAAGTGCCTACCACTTCATGTCCGGGTACCCGATATTACTAGTCCGATCGTTGATAGGGTACCGTTTCTAGAATATTGGTTTAAAGAGTAATAATGTGGGGAAACATCGTATTAAAGGGGATTTATAGATTAGGGTTCTCCTATTAGTAAAGAAATACTCGGTGATTATAAGTTGATTTTACAAATGTCTATAAATAATACTGGTATTTTTTTTTAAGTACTGAAATTATACCCTAATTTTACTCAGATGAATTAACTAAAAATAATAAATCAGCATCACAATTTTGATTAGGGGTACAGCTTAATTAATTAAAGCTTTTTCAGGGCTTAGAGTTGAATGCTTCAGGTTAGTGTTCATCACGGTTTAGGATATATAGGGTTTCGTATTAGTGGTAAGGACTAGGGTTTTGGAGGAATCTCTGTAACCAAATTTGGAGTATATATAAAGGCTGGAAACTGCATGATGAGCTCCTATTATTATTTAATTTCTACTTTCTGTCCATAAGTTTTTTTTCTCTTTTTATTGGTATTCTGTCCATAAGTTGATTAGATAATAGAAGTAAAGCGGTTTCGAGCCAGCCAGAATCCGACGTAGACATATGCATGGCTAAATATTGGCAATTAAGCATCTCCCACCGGCCGGGACCATTTTGGTTTCTCATGATTCCTTGCGTGCTGATATTATTAAATAAATATATGAGATTTTCACCGCCTTGTCAAACAGTAAGTAGTAAAACCCTCCAAATGCGTGCACAGATTCTCTAGTCTACTGCCATGCATGATCTCCTTGCACGTGCGTTGACGTCGGAATTAAGAGCACACAGAAGTTAAAAAGCAAGAACACGTGTCTATCTACTTCAACTTCAAAAATTGATCCATGAAGTATGTACTTTTTGTGGTCCATTTATATATTATTTATAGAGGTTTCATCAGGTTGTTTTGTGGTCCTTAAACGATTCCACGCCCGATCTTCTAGATAACTCCATCCATGGTAAATAATGGCTAGCTAGGAACAACCTGGACGAACAACAATCAAAGATAACTTTAATTAATTTGAACAAGTTAATTACCCAGTTTATTAACATAACTCTCTTGTACTCCAGTCGATTTACAAAAAAAAATTAACAAGACTACTTTAATTTGGTTAATTGATATCATCATTATAGTATATACGCTATACATTATTTAAGAGTATAAAATATCTGCGCGCAGGTGCGCTATATATACACATCAAATCAAACAACCTAACCCACGTACGAAAAGATCAATCAGATCGCATAATTAAGTTGAGCGCAAACGATTCTACGTACGATACTCGGTTTTGTACACCCCCGGATCGGATCACATGCATCCATCCAACAACAACAAGAAGAGAGACAACTTGAAGAAATTGAAGTGAAACGGTTTCGACGACTTTCGAGCTTGCCTGATTCCGACGTAGACATGCATGGTCATATATATTGGCAAGCAAGCAATTAAGCACCATCTCCCGCCGGCCGGCCGGGACCATTTTTGCTTTCTCTTGATCAGCCGGTGGGACAGGATGACGACAGGATCCTACCGACCGCCATTATCACCTTTAGCCAAGCTCTGAATTATTGAAGCAAGAACCCCCCGTGTCTCTCCATCACTGTACTCACGTACTCCAAAAGAGATCCCCACGTACATATGCATGCAAAAGCCCTATAGCTTCATCAGATTATTTTGTGGTCCTCAACACTGAGATTCTGCTAGCGATGCTTCTCCTATTTAAACCCTTTCATCCATTTTCACCCCCACACCCAAACTTCCTCTCCTCTCTTACTTGCAAACTCTCCCCTCCATTTACCTCCAAAAACCTCCCCGCCGGCCACCTTTCCTTACCAAACTCTCCCTCGATCCACAAAAGCCGCCTTCCTCTTCCCTTCACCTGCAAATCCCTCCCCGCCGGCAAGAACCCCGCCTCTTCCTCTCCCTGACTCTGACTTCCAAGTTCTGCCCGCCGGCCAGCCACCCTTTTACCCTCTTTGTGCACGTACCCGCAAACTCCAAATCAAACGTTCGGCGGCGCTCATCATCACCCCCGGCCCTCCTCCTCAACTCACTCCGCTACTCTACTCAGCCTCGTACAGTCGAATCCATGGGTCCGGAAGCGATGGAGAGGGTGCAGATCATCTCCGGCGTCATAGGTACGTGTAACAAAAGAAAAGAAGAAAAAATTCTCAATCATCTATATTCTATCGGGAAAATGTCTCTTTGCCGCCAATGAAAATGGTCACGAAATGAATTCATGGGATATATAGTGTCATTTCGAGACCAGAGAAAGATTTGATATATTTGATTTTTTTTTTTACTGGGAAATTTGTATTTTAACGTGCTAAATCTTTTTGGATTGTATAATTTATTTTGGTGATGTTTAATTAATTAATTGGTAATTAATGTTTAGAGAAACTACGTAATATACCATGCATGCATGGAGCTTCCTTGTGTTGACGAGGAAGTCTCTAGAACTCCCTTGTGTTGACGAGGGTTGTTCCCTTTCTCTCCCTCCTATACAAAGAGGAGTTTTCTGTTATGTAAAAAAAAAAAATCTTAGTTCATTTACCAATGCGCAAAGTCACCCATCAACAAGGAAGTTTATTTTTCTCGTCAATTTAAAATTAAGCTTAAGGATGATTTGGTCCTTCCAGTACTTCGGAAGTTTTGAAGAATCACAAATTGGCAAATTGTGCTGCTCACTATTTCCTCGCGTTATAACATCTAAAATGTTATCTTAGTATACAAGTTTTTTTTTTTCTCTTCTTTTCTTCTTCCGAGATTAATGTTCGGTTTGTTTAAATTTTTCAGGGAGTAAGATCTCCTTGGCCATCTTCCTCAGCCCCATGTAAGTAGAATTCTCAAATACTTGTATATACTATATTTTCAAATATTACAATTATGACTTACATACGTTACTAATTAAATTTTTTATTATTTGCAGCCGCTCCTTCTGGAGGATGTACCAGGAGGGGCACAACCAAGGATTTAGGATCCTTCCGTACATGGTGGCGCTTTTCAGCACCACCTTGTACATTTACTATGGGGTGATGAAGCACTCCTTCATCATCACCACCATCAACACCATCGGGACCATCATCGAGCTCCTGTACGTGGTGGTGTTTCTTGTCTTCTCCACCCCACACACAAGGGTAAGTAATCAGTTTTAATTATTCTTTCAATTATAAGTCGATATAAAATATATAACTAACCAATACCTTTTTTTTTTGGTTGATTTAATGGTAGGTTCGGACGGCGGCAAAAATGGTTGCCTTCAACGTGGCAATGTTGGCCACCATCATCCTGTCCACCGTGTATGTTGCAGACTACACGAGGCAGGTGGTGGTGGGAACGATCTCCGCCGTCTTCTCCGTTTGCGTCTACGCCGCCCCGCTGAGCGTCATGGTAAGCAAATATTGACTAGTACTTCATTTTCATCCTACCATGATAAATGGAGTAAAAATGCTAACATATATTTTCTTTTTAACTTCCAGCTGCAGGTAATAAATACAGGGGATGTGGGTTCAATCCCAATTCCCATGTCTGTAGCCATGACTCTCAGCTCCATCTTCTGGTTCATCTATGGACTCGCCACTTCCGACTTCTTTGTGGCGGTAATTTTCAATTTTTTACTACACTTTTTTTACTTAAAATTTTTATATTCAATGTCCTAATAGTTTGGATTACTACTAATCGATGTTTATTTGATTTATCAATGCAGATGCCAAACATCCTCGGGTTGGTGTTTGGGGTAGCACAGATTGTGTTGTACCTCAAATACCGACAACCACCAACAAACGCCGAGGACGCCGTCATCGAGAGGCTGGAAGAGGGCCACGATCATGTTCAGGATGAGGACAACATCAGCAGTCCCGACACCGTCGAGATTGTTGATGAGGGTCTAGGCCACGACCAACCGATGGAAGAAGAAGAAGAAGAAGAAGAAGAAGAAGAAGAAGAAGAAGAAGAGGAAGGAGAAGAAGAAGAAGAAGAAGAAGAAGAAGAAGAAGAAGAAGAAGAAGAAGAAGAAGAAGGGGGAGGAGGAGGAGGAGAAGAAGAAGAAGAAGGGGGAGGAGGAGGAGAAGAGGAAGAAGGAGAAGGGGGAGGGGGAGGAGAAGCAGCAGCACAAAGAGAGGGAGAAGGAGAAGAAGAAGCAACAATATCACCAAGAGGAGGAGAAGAAGAGTAATAAAAATTATCCATCAGCATCTTTTTTAGATGTTTATTTCATTTTCCCAACTCTTTGTGATTCTTTTCTGTTAGATGTCTATTTCTTGTTTTTTTTTTTTTTTTTTTTTGAACTCTGTAAGAAAATAATCAATAAACATCTATTATATGGTCAATACTGTTGCGCTACTGTTAAATTTATTTTACTTTTTACTTTTTTATTTTGATTTTCCATCAGTTCCATTTAAATTTATTTAACATTTTACTTAATTTACTTTTACTGGGGAAAAAAGAAAGAAAAAAGAAAATGAAAGCAGGAGCAGTTTACATAGATTGCACAATTTTCTCCTGGCTCAAATCAGTGTATCTGTTAACTCTCGTTCAAATCCCCATTTATTGGAAGTATAACCCGCTACAATCTGCAAATTTTTTATGTCTACTGGCCTAGCTACTTCTCTACCAACATAGACAGAAATTCCAACCCGCTTTCTTCCATTCCTACATGCATTGCGAAGTCATCTTTCCACCATGTCCAGAGCAATTCAGCTTCGGCATAAGATAGCAGACGAAAACTGCAAATCTGCTATACACCATAGTAACTTCAATCAGGAGTCCACATGACACAGTCGTATAATCTATAGCAAGAGATCGGCCTGCAATAATAACAACTAGAAAAGACCAGCTTGCTTGCGCTTCGCGTGAGTGAAAGCCACAATTCGACTTAACATAATTGGTATAGAAAAACCATCATTTCTTATAAGATTCAAACCATACTCTCACTTTTCACGAATCTATCATCTGCGACTTAATTATGAGATAAGACTACTAAACTGATGGGAGTGATGTAAAGCTCCTGCCACTTTAATAAAAGATTGATACAAAATGCACCCGAATGATATATGATGATACTGTAAAGTAAAACATCAGTAGAAAGTTACTCTACACAGACTTGGAATGAAGGAAAGCAATATTCATAAATTTCAATAGATTCAAGCTCATAAGTATTTGTTCCTTTTCCTATGCTTATCCCCCCCACTTTTTCCCTCCAAATCACCAGGTGCTTGGTTTTGTCACACGTCTCCTACTATTAATAATAACTTAGTAGCAGCTAGCCACCGAATCCAAGCCAACTAAACAATAAGTGAGAAGAAGTTCATAAGCAAGTAACATTTTATCAAAACCACCACGCACTTGTGGTTCCTGAAAGTGGAAACACTTCGCCCCATGGAAATGTGGTTTTAGTTGAAGTAATCTGGTTTCCCAGACAACATACTTTTGAGAGAATCGGCCTGGGAAACTTGCATGTAAGGTAGTTTTGAACTTCTAATACACAACAGTGAAACCACATCTATTAAGGTATCAAGATGTATGCCCTCTGATCCAGACATTCCAAAGCCTCAAAATCATAATCCTTAAAAAAGAAATGGCATAGTCTGTACAAATGGAATATAGATTAAACCAACACGTTCATTTATGTTGCGCAGAAGGCATAAGTGGTGGTGGGGCTGGTAAATTGTATGGTGACAGAAATTCTAAAAGGAAGGCAGCAGCAATTTAGCAAAGAAAAGATGGCATCCTGTAAGGAGTTCAACTATAGACTCCCATTCTAACAGTTGACGACTGAAAGAATTGAAAGCTAGAACAAAGAAAGGAAGTTTGGCATATGATCGCAGCATCCTCTACCAAGGCTAGTTTATGCTAAAACCATTGGAAGCATTCTCATTCACATTATGATGGGCTGTTAAATTTGCCTATGATGCATCTTGATAGCTTGATATGGACAATGTTTCTCACTAAAGCTGGCTAGCTAATGTGTGGTTCACACAAACAAATTCATCTGTCATCCACATATCCATCCATGTATCAATCTATCTATCAACATGAAATGAAATGTAGTTGAAAGGAAGTGAAGAACACTAAAGAAAAGAATCCCCCAAAGCAGCAATAGCGACAGGGGAGAGAGACTCGGATACAAAAAATGGCAACAGACACTTTTTTTATGAGAGCTCTTCATTGTTATTGTCCTCGTATAGTTAATCCAACATTACCATTTACTAATACTCTCCTGGTCTTTTGTTCAAACATAAAGGAACGTCACAATCACCAAGACAAAGGCAAAAGTAAGCACAACCTAAATATCCTTATTACACAAACTCGGAGTAGGACAACTATACTTGAAGCAAAAGAAAAGGAATGAAACGTGTTGGATGAGAACAGCAGTGCCAAACTTAGCTTACTACTGGTCACTGGATCTGTATAAAGGTCAAGAACTTACCAAGTAATTTAGCAGTTGAATAGGAGGCTATGGTCGACGGTTGCAGCCCTAATACAAACAACAAGATAAAAAAGAAGATTAGCATGCATAGTAAGGGCATGCAAGAGAAATAAGAGAAACATGGTACTGATAGTAGTCTGAACCGAAGCGATGAGAGGAGCTGCGAGGAATCTAATAGCTAAGCACTAAGGCGGTGATGCTGCAACTGATAGTGCAAAGGCTGCAAAGATAAGCAACGGACATCATTAGGCTTTGTATATGCTTGATCAACGTGGAACTCTAGCAATGACTTTACAACCAATGACTTCCGCCTCTTCATTTGAGGAAGTCAAGATAACACCAGAAGAATTTACAATCGTTTCTATGCCCTTTTACTGAAATTAGTTTGGCATATTTGAAAGGAGGGTTACTGAAAGTATAACGTAGGATCTGAACATAATTAGACCCATTCGTGAAACTCATCAGCTAGCAACTGCACAATAAAGGGAAATAAATTTGTAGTTGGTGAAAAGAAATGACTGATTATAATAAAATTACTCACTGGTCCTTGATAAAGAACAATTCGTCTAGGCGTGGACCACCAAAGCTTGAAATGATGAAGTGTTCCTTGTTGGTGATATCCAAAGGAGGTTTTTGTTCCACCAATGTTAGGAGGAAATGACAATTGCAGGTTCCTTTTGGCTCATGTGCAATTGCAGGAAGTTAAGAAACAAAAAGGAAACAAAAACGGCAAGCAAAATAATAGAAAGGAAACAGACACACACCTTTGGGACTCCTTTTGAATTAGTTGATAAAACTATTGAATCCTAACCCATACACATGGCTAAACATACTCAAAAATAACTTCCAGGGATCATGCATCGTCTCCATCATGGATGTTTACAGCTCATTTATTTGTTGATTTTGCTCTTCCAGCCATCGTGCACGCACAAATGACATGGCCCCTGCTGCAGGCCACCAAAAGGCACCAAAACACATTCATGTTAAAATGACAGGAGTAACGGCTCCCTGAAATCCTATGATACTCATCCACCATCTAAAAGCACGAAAATTTTGGAGCAGACCAATCCTTGCTAACGCAAAGTTAATGGGAAGATAATCACTAAAATTATCTATCAAGCTCGGTCTTGTGTCTCCTTGAATAACAGTTCTCTAAACATAAACAGAAACCAATAAAGCAAAAAATGTGAGTTTAAGTCAAATACTATATGAACATATCGTGAACTGAACGTTAAATTAATAAATAGGTAGAATCAAAGATAGGTCAGCAAAAGTAAAATTAATGGGTTGTCGGTAAACATATCCATATAGGTGGAAACTAAACATATCCATATAGGTGGAAACTAAACATATTCATATATATATACATACATCCAACTAAGAGAAGATGCAGGAATAGGAACATCAAAGGGCAAACACAATAAAACATAGTTGAAACTTGTAAGCCGTCAAAAGATTTCAACACAAGCGGTAGCGATTGGCGTTCAATGCAGTTAGTATATTGATCCAGAACTTCAGCAACAAAGCAGCATTTGACCCGCTATCAAGAATCAACCCAGCAGCATTCCCACACTAGACCACCCAACCAACAATAAAAATGTTGTTAAAACTAACTAATCACTCAATTCATAAGCTAGTAAAGCTTTAGTTTAACTGACTTGAAAGAGCGTACTGACGTTAGGTGATAATCATAAGCTATTGCCCACCTCCCTGTACCAAAAAGTAGTAAATTTTTCACTCTACACTTCCATCATTCATGAAGATTTACTAACCGGAGTTATACTTTCTAAACCGAATTTAATTTCAATATTATTGTGATCAAATCATCGTTGGTAATCTCTTGTCTAAGAATCAAGATTGGGTTTGGTTGCCGTGGCCCGTGGGGGAACACAAATTCCCATAAAAAATAGCAAAAGAGACGTACCTTCCAAATTATGATTGATTATAGTTGGCCTTCTCTTGTCAAAGAATCGAGATTGCTCGGGACTGTAGTTCTGGTACAAATGCAGGTTTGGCATTTATAAGATGGTGGAAAGTTGGAATATTGAGGAAGACACATACAAAAGCGACATACCAAAACATCTATCCAATCATGTTTAAAGCTTTCAGTAGATGGCTTCTGCATTGTGTACAATCACTTACTTCCAACAGTGCCTTCTAGTCCAGCTGCATGAAAAAAAATCACTCAAGCTCAGAACCAAAGCAAAGCACCCCATAAGCCAAAGTAACGAATAAATTAGAACATCAATCCATCAAACATTTTAAAGAGGAGCCCACCAAACTATGGAACATGTTAAACACGACATCATAAAACCCATATCCGAATGAATTCGCTGAACTTTGTGTTAAACATACATACAAAAATGAAATGGACGAAGAATAACCTTCTAAGTGACTCATTTTTGTTGTACCAATGACCCATGTTAGGGGAAATTCACATCAGGAAAATGAACATTAAGAGGGGACAAAATGGAATTTACCATGTCATTTTCCTTTCCTTTTCTTCACCTTCCATTCCCTGCCAGCATAACAATACATGAGGAAAAGACATGATATAAGCACCCAAAAAAAAATCTGAAGATAAATCGACTACTCCACCTGGACATCCAGCATAACAAACCGGAGGAAAGACGCCTTTAGAAATTCAGTACCGTGCCAATTCAAGTGACTGACCAGAACATGCAACTCGTCCAAATCTTCGAGGTCTGTCCCTGACCCTGGACCTGGAGGAGGTTAAATTTCAAATTACTTTCAGCTGCCTATCAGCAACATCAACATAGAAGAACTCGCCGATTGATAGTCGTTTCATCTTTAATACCCAAAAAGAACATCAGAATCAAAGCAAGAAACTAAGAGGAAAACATTCATAAAGAAAAATAGCACCTTCGGTTGGAAGCTTGGAGGCGATTTCCTCTGTTCTTCTTTGCATCTCTTGATGGGGAGTCGCCGAAGGAATTGGAAGGGCTCGCGGTGGAAGACGGCCGGCCGACCGATGGAGCTGGCTTCGCAAACCGCCACAAGATGGGTGATTGGAGCTCCCCCTCTCTCGGATCTAGAAGCATGGCTCACCGCTACGAAGGTGGTCACTTTCTTAGTCGCCGATGGATCAGGCTGTGGAGAATGGGGAAGGGACCGGATTGAAAGAAGGGTAGAATTGATGGTGGCCGCTCGCTACGGGAACCAACTTCGCCAGCCGCTACGGCAAGCTCAGGAGAGGGTCGACAACTTGCCTGGCCGCCATTCGGTCGTCGTAGGGTCAAAATTGGGGCAAACGGAGAGAAGGTGAGCGACGGGGTTATGGGGATCGATAACGTCGTGGATGTTGGGCGCAGCGGGTGAGAATAGCGGGTAAATATATTGCACTAAGAAATCACACGCTTGTAAAAAGTTCACAAATAAGTTGGACCTGGTGGCAGAGCCTCCAGAATTACTGTAACAAACTTACTTAGATCAATTTACTTCGATAATTTAATAATGCAATATACTACGACTATTCTCAAAATAACAACAAGCATAGATAATAATAAATGACACCGAGGATTTACGTGGTATACCCTGATTTTGGGCCAGTCCACGGGAACAGCAGCTCCGGAGTATTTCTTTACTATAACAATGGTAGGTTACAGAGATTTTCTCGATACAAGAAATAGAACACACGGTGTTTCCCAAACAACCTCACTATTTCACTCACAAGGAAATCTCCTATCTACCCGTGATTGTGAAAACGTTTCACAACCGAAACCACAAGAAAGAAATAGAACCGAAAGCTAGCACAGAAGAATGATGATGATGGGAAAATATGGGATGGTTTCAGAAGAGAACTAGGCATCCCTTTTATAGCACAAAATGGAGGGGACATATTTAATTGGAGTGGTTGGGGAGCTAATCCATGTACCATCCAACTGCATTTGCCACCTGCATCTTACCATTATTGTTTTTTTTTTTTTTCATTTTCTCATTTACCACCGCCAACCTTGTTGGCCGTTGCCCTGCCACATGAGCCGGGCCCAATAATTCTCCCCCGCCCGACTACATGGGCGACGTCGTCATCCCTGCAGCTGATCGACAGAACTCAAACTTTTCTCTTGGAAGAGTCTAGGTACACATGTGAGATCCATTTTCGTCAGTATGGATATTCTCTAGTTGTAACTGCTTCATTTCAAGCACATCTCGAATCCAATGATATCGAACGTCGATATGTTTTGACCGAGCATGAAATGAAGCATTCTTCGCAAGATGAATAGCACTCTGACTATCACAGAACAGCTGCGGTTGTTCCTGTAGGAACCCAAGTTCATTCAGGAACTTCTTCATCCATATAATCTCCTTGCATGCTTCCGTTACTGCTATATACTCAGCTTCTGTTGTGGAAAGAGCTACACACTTTTGTAGCCTTGACTGCCACGATATTGCTCCCCCTGATAAGGTAATCAGGTACCCAGAAGTGGACCTCCTCGAATCAACATCACCTGCCATGTCAGCATCTGTATAGCCAACAAGAACAGGTTCACCATCTCCAAAACATAGACTCATTTTGGAGCTACCTCGAAGGTATCTGAGGATCCACTTCACAGCTTCCCAATGTTCCTTTCCTGGTTTGGAAAGAAACCGACTGACAACTCCAACTGCATGAGCAATATCTGGCCTTGTACACACCATGGCGTACATCAAACTTCCCACTGCTGAAGCATATGGAATTTTATCCATCTCCGTCATTTCCTTCTCAGTAGACGGGCTCTGTTTGGATGTCAATGTAAAGTGGTTAGCAAGAGGACAGCTAACTGCCTTAGCATTATCCATGTTGAAACGTTGAAGTACTTTCTCAATGTACTTTTCTTGTGACAACCATATCTTCTTGGCACCTCGATCCCGAATGATCCTCACGCCAAGAATCTGCTTTGCTGGTCCCAAGTCTTTCATGGCAAAAGACTTGCTCAACTCCTTCTTCAAATCATTGATCTTTGAGACGTCCTGCCCAGCAATTAGCATATCATCCACATAGAGCAAAAGTATGATGAAATCTCCATCAGGAAATTTCTTCACGAACACGCAGTGGTCTGAAGTAGTCTTCTTGTAGCCTTGCTCCCCCATAACAGACTCAAACTTCTTGTACCACTGCCTTGGTGCCTGCTTTAAGCCATACAAGCTCTTTCTGAGCCTGCACACATAGCCCTCCTTGTTCTTCTTCTTGAAGCCTTCTGGTTGCTCCATGTAAATCTCTTCCTCCAAATCACCATGAAGGAAGGCAGTCTTCACATCCATTTGCTCAACCTCCAGGTTAAGACTTGTTGCTAGTCCTAACACAGTACGAATGGATGTCATTTTCACCACAGGTGAAAATATCTCGTCAAAGTCAATGCCTTTCCTTTGACTGAAGTCTTTCACGACTAGTCTGGCTTTGAAGCGTGGCTGACGGTTGTGTTCATCATGTTTAATCTTGAACACCCACTTGTTCTTCAAAGCTCTCTTGCCTTTGGGCAATTTCACCAGCTCAAATGTCTTGTTCTCATACAAGGAATCCATCTCGTCTTGCATGACTTCTATCCACCTTTGCTTGTATTCATCATTCATAGCTTCTGTGAAACTTTCTGGTTCTCCCCCGTCAGTAAGTGACACGTATTCAGTCTCAGGATATTTGGTAGAGCGTCGTGTGACCCTACCAAATCTCGTCATTTGAACAGGAGAACCCTCAATGACTGGTGGTTGACCATCTTCATCAGCATCTTCTGGTTGAACCTCCACAGGAGCATCTTGTTCAACTATCTCAGGCTGATCATGTTGTACTTCTTCTCCAAGTTCTGTAGGCGTCGGCGTTGGAGGTACTAGCCCAAAGCTTGGTTGGCTAGCATCAGTACTAGGAACTTCTTTCCTAGCAACAACATCTTCGATGGTCTCATTTTCGATGAACACAGCATCACGACTTCTGATAAGCTTTTTCTGGATTGGATCAAAGAATCTATAGCCAAACTCATCTTGACCATAGCCAATAAATACGCACGGTCGCGTCTTGGAATCCAGCTTTGACCTTTCATCCTTTGGAATATGGACAAAGGCCTTGCAACCAAACACCCGCAAATGTTTGTAAGAAACTTCTTTTCCTGTCCACACCTTCTCTGGGGCTTCATACTTCAGTGGCACACTGGGTGACCTGTTCCACACGTAAACTGCTGCAAGCAGTGCCTCCCCCCAGAAAGATTGTGGTAGCTTCGAGTGTGATAACAAGCACCTGACTCTCTCTAGCAGGGTCTAGTTCATCCTTTCAGCTAGCCATTCAATTGCGGCGTCTTTGATGGTGTGAATTGCTGCCGAATTCCATGTTCCTTGCAGAAGGTAGCAAACGGACCTCTGTACTCTCCACCATTGTCAGTCCGGATGCACTTCAGCTTCTTGCCAGTTTCCCTCTCCACTAGGGCCAGGAATTGCTTGAAAACGTCTAGGGCCTGATCCTTGGTCTTCAAGGTATACACCCAAGTCTTCCGTGAATGATCATCAATGAATGTCACGAAATATCTGGCACCTCCAAGTGATTTGACGTTGACATCGGGTTCACAAAGATCTGAGTGAACTAGATCCAACACGTTCTTCGCTCTTGAAGGGATGGAACTTTTGAAAGCAACTCGGTTTTGCTTTCCCGCAAGGCAATCGACACACTTCTTTAGATGAACATGATCCAACCCAACTATGACTTTCTTCTGGGTCAACTTTGCCATGGACTTCTCACTCATGTGACTGAGTCGTTTGTGCCACAATTCAATTGTGTCACCATTCTCCGCTGAGTTGACAATCTCTGGGGAGATCTTGGCTTCCGTCACATACAGCTTTGACAGCTTCTTGCCCTTGGCCAACACCAAGGAGCCTCTGGTGAGTTTCCACTGGCCATTGTGAAAGGTGTTACAGTAACCTTCCTCATCCAACTTGCCTACAGAGATGAGATTCAGGCGCATTTCTGGAACATGCCTGACATCCTTCAGTAGTAGCTTTGTACCATTCATCGTCTCCAAGCATACTTCTCCTTTTCCAATAACTTTGGAAAGGTTGCCATTTCCCATCCTTACCACACAAAAGTCACCTAGTGTGTAAGATGAGAAAAATTCTCTCTTGGACGTCACGTGGATGGTAGCACCACTATCAACCACCCAGCTTGTCTCCTGGGTTGTCAGGTTGACAACATCTTCCTCGTAGACAATATTGAACTCATCAATAGAGTTTGCACCATCATCATCACTGTTCTCATCTCGTTTGCCCTTCCTTCTCTCGTTTCTGAACTTTGGGCAAAATCTTCTGATGTGGCCCTTTTCCTTGCAGTGATGACAATTGATATTGGCAAACTTGTTGGACTTCCCTCGACTCTTGCCTCTTTGCTTCGAGCCTCTCGCTTCACTTCTTCCTCTGCTTCTGGAATCCACCGCCAAAAGGTCTGACTGGAAAGATGATGAGGATGCACCTTGTGATCTTTTCCGCATCTCTTCATTTAGAACCCCACTTTTGACGATCTCCATGTTGATAACTCCATCTTTCGCAGAGTTGGTAAGCGAAATTTTTAGCGTCTCCCAAGATTCTGGAAGGGAAGCCAGAACGAGGAGAGCGACCACCTCATCTTCCATCTTTATGCCCATACCGGACAACTGATCCACGATCCCTTGAATTTCGTTCCAGTGATCCGCCAAGGATTTGCCTTCCTTGTATTTCATCTGGACCAACTTGGTCAGATAAAATAACTTGTTGTTGCCGGTCTTTGATGCATAGAGTGCCTCCAGCTTGTTCCACAGAGTTCTGGCATGAGTTTCTCCGCTAATGTGGTTGTATACATTATCGTCGACGAACTGTCGAATGTAGCCACATACTTGCTCATGCTTGAACTCCCATTCCTCTTCAGTTTTGCCATCAGGTTTAGTTGGACTAAACACCGGCAAATGCAACTCCGTCACGAGTAGGAGATCCTTCATCTTGTTTCTCCATATGTGATAGTTGGAGCCATTCAGACTTATCATCTTGCTTGTTTTTGCCTCCATTGGACGTGGCTCTGATACCACTTGTTGGGCGCAGCGGGTGAGAATAGCGGGTAAATATATTGCACTAAGAAATCACACGCTTGTAAAAAGTTCACAAATAAGTTGGACCTGGTGGCAGAGCCTCCAGAATTACGGTAACCAACTTACTTAGATCAATTTACTTCGGTAATTTAATAATGCAATATACTACGACTATTCTCAAAATAACAACAAGCATAGATAATAATAAATGACACCGAGGATATACGTGGTATACCCTGATTTTGGGCCAGTCCACGGGAACAGCAGCTCCGGAGTATTTCTTTACTATAACAATGGTAGGTTACAGAGATTTTCTCGATACAAGAAATAGAACACACGGTGTTTCCCAAACAACCTCACTATTTCACTCACAAGGAAATCTCCTATCTACCCGTGATTGTGAAAACGTTTCACAACCGAAACCACAAGAAAGAAATAGAATCGAAAGCTAGCACAGAAGAATGATGATGATGGGAAAATATGGGATGGTTTCAGAAGGGAACTAAGCGTCCCTTTTATAGCACAAAATGGAGGGGACATATTTAATTGGAATGGTTGGGGAGCTAATCCATGTATCATCCAACTGCATTTGCCACCTGCATCTTACCATTATTGTTTTTTTTTTTCATTTTCTCAATTACCACCGCCAACCTTGTTGGCCTTTGCCCTGCCACATGAGCCGGGCCCAATAGTGGAGGCGTTGGCTGAACAAATGGTCGAGAATCGAGATTCCCAATTAAGATGAATCGAACTGAGCTCCGCCTCCGCGTGCGGGTAGGATCCGGTGCTTAAGCCTATACATTTAAGCATTTTGTTTAAGTCATTTTATTGGTTGATAGTGGATTAGATAGTTAATAAGGGGGTAAGTAGTTAATAGGTAGTTGAGGATAAATAAGGATATTATGCAAGTATAATTAATATTAATAATTGATTATTCTCTTTCTCTCTCCTCCCATAACTTGCTCCATAACCCTCTCTCTCCAATGCAATTAAAAGGAAATTCAAAATTAATTTAATTAGATTTTAATATTTAATAAAATTCAAACTTAATAATTTTTTCTCTTAGAAATTAAAAATTAAAAATCTTCTCTCTCATTTCGTGACAACTTGCAATGTAGTATTAACGTTTTGCAATGACATTATCAACGTTTATGAAATAAATCATTATTATTTTACCTTATCATTATTAACGATTTCAATATAAGTATCAACTCTTTACAATTATATTATTAACAATTTTGAATCAATCGTTACCGTTGTAAATTTTCATCATCAACGTTTATGAATGAATCATTGATTACAACATCTTTACTAATGATTCACAATATCATTGATTCACAACATTATCATTATTGATACTATTAGTAATGGGCTCTCAAAGACGTCTCACTCGTTTCGACAAACAAACAACAACTGATATCATGATACATCAAACGTCGACAGTGTTCACTATTAACAGTACATGACTAAATTGCAAATATTTTAGGTTAACTGTTAAACGTTTTGAAACTATTAGTAATGATATACTTTCACGTTGTTAACGTTTTTAACGTAAACGTGACGTTCTCATCCCAAAAATTTCATTGAAACTGAAAATTATAAATGGTTTAGGTCGATTTTTAATGATTTTAATACTATTAGTTATGATATACTTTAACAACATTTTGGTGGGAGTTGCTTAACGTTTTTAACGTGAAAGTGAAATTGTAAGTTGTAACAACTACGTGATATCATGATACATTAACAAACAACATATGATATCATGATATATTAAACATAGATAATGTAACTATATTTTATTAATAATTCACTAAAAATTTTATAATGTTCGGCTATAATGATTATAACCTTAAATATTTTATTACGTTAATAACAATTTACATTACATCAACAATTATAACATTACATTAGATTGTTAACAATGAGCCTAAACCCATTAACAAACAACAAAAAATGATTTCGGAGACGATGATAATGTTTTTGTATATCGTTGAAAATTAATTGCAAAAAAGTTGATAACAGTACCTTGGATTGATTATAATGAACCAATAAAAGTTGATGGTGTAATTGTTTGACATTTTTTTCATAAACGCTGATAACTACAATAAAAACAAATAGTATTTATCAAGAAGTTTATAAACCCGACGTCCAAATTGGAAAACATAAGCTCCTAGGTTGATAGAGATGAAACAAACTGTTAATAATGTAACAAAAATTTATTGATAACGAAAACATCAAAAATCAAAACATTATGTTTTTATTGAATACACAAATATTTATTTTCAACTAAATATAGTCATTATCAATGATTTAGTGTGTTCTTATTAAGGACTTTGCTACGGTGACATGCATGTCACGGTGACATGCACTTTCCGGTCGACCTCATATAGGATTAGGTCGACCTAATATGTTGTTTTAGTGTAAAAACAGTTTCATGGTGCCTACTTTGGAGATTCATATCTTACAATTGGCTAGATGAAAATTGGAGATTAATGGCTTGTTTTGAAGCTGAAGTGTCCCTCTACACATTAAAATACTTGGGAGCTCGATAGAAAGTCTAGAAGACCATTTTTTAACCTGATCAAAAGGCTATGCCAAAACTGGGAAACTGCCTGAAAATGGCCAAGTCTGGGAACGTGTTTGTGAAGCCTACTTTGGAGCTCAATTTGAGGAGTATGGTTGCGATTCGAGTCCAGGGGTCTCTACCACGTTAAATTAGGTATGTTTGTCTACAAAGGAAAGGCATTGGATAAAAGATTGGATATTTTTAAGGCTTCAAACAAAAGGCTCGAAGTTGCTACAAAGGCTGTTTTTCTGCCAACTTGCTTGTGAGGTCGACCTGATCCTAAATGAGGTCGACCTGATCCTAAATGCGGTCGACCTGATCCTAAGTGAGGTCGACCTGATCCTAAATGAGGTCGACCTGATCCTAACTAAGGTAGACCGAAAAGTGCAAGTCACCGTGACATGCATGTCACCATAGGCGCACCCTCTTATTAAAGGTTACTAAAGTTCAAAACTAATAATGTCATAAAGTTTTTTTATTAACAAGTCATGTAAAATTTGATAATAACGATTATTAAACATTTGATAATGAAAACTATATGTGCACACATGACATGACGTTACTAATTAATGAAAAATTGACAATGTTAAATATAATCACCAAACACGTCAAATAAATAATTAATAAAAACATTTTGGAAGCTCATAAACGTTGATAACAATTAATCCCAAATTCTTAATAATATAATAGTAAAGAATTGATACGTATATTGAAATCGTTAATAATTATAATGTATAGTAATAATGATTTATTTCATAAGCGTTGATAATGTCATTGCAAAATGATGTCATGAAGTGAGAAAGCAGATTTTCAATTTTCAATTTCCATTTTTAAATGAGAAAAAATTATTATTTTTGAATTTTATTAAATAATAAAATATAATTAAATTAATTTCAGATTTTCTCATAATTGTAGGAGAGAGAGGATTATGGAGAAAGTTATGTGAAGAGAGAGAAAGAGAATAATCAATTATTAATATCAATTATATTTGCATAATAACCTTATTTATCCTCAACTACCTATTAACTACTAACCCCTTATTAATTACCTAATCCACTATCAACCAATAGAATGACTTAAGCAATATGCTTAAGCATTTAGGCTTAAGCACAGAAACCCAGGCCCTCCGCCTGTGGACTGGAGTTCCATTTCTCTATGAACCAGAGCTTCCATGGAAAATGTTTAATTTTCGGAACTTGTGAACCTATATGTTCAGCTACGACATGGAAAGGGCCAAAAGCCCAAAACTAGAATCTCAAAAGAAAACTTCTCAAGCCAAAATCCATTAGCCGTTAGGGTTACGGGTGGAAATCGGTACGGTATCGGTATCCCAATACTAAATATCGAAATCCCGAATACCGAATTACACCCTGAAATCAATCCCAATCACAATCCCTAAATAATTTTGGTATCCTAATCCCTAAATATTTCGGTATCCCAATCGGTACCTCTGTATCCCAATTGGTATTATCAAATACAAAATTAATTGCATTTGGCATTAATAATTAAATAATTAAATTATATTTTATTGTTTAATTTAGGGCAAAGAGACTAAGCAAAGAGTCTTAAGTTGCCTAGAGCTAACATCTCAAGTTTTTGTAATTGGTAATCTTTAATTTGATGAATTTGAGGTTGAGAGACGACTAATCCTAGTGTGAAATAGTGATGTAATGATCTATGTATAATTAAATGACACTCTTGGTGGTTGAGGGTCGCGTAGTAGTGAATGAGAGAGTCTAGTTGAGAGGATAAAATACACACTAGCTTATATTTCGGTATTGATCGGTATTTCGGTATTTACCGATCCCAATCTCGTAATCTCTAATACCGAATAACAATTGAAACTCAATCCCAATCCCACAAAATAACTGAACGGCTAAATCTCGCCCTAACTTTATTATTATCGCCCTAATTTAAAATATAAAATTACTAAATTACCCTTTAACAAACAACCCTAAAATTCATTTTTTTTAATCCGCCTTCATCTTCTTCCCAACGATAGCCGCCCTCCAAACCAGCTCCGCCGTCGAGAACCTGCAATTCACTCGAAACCACCTCCGTCGTTGAAAAATCTGAACTCCATTAGTCCTTCTGTAGCCTACTGAGAGGGCTCCAATCGACCCTCCTCTGTTCTGCCGCTTGAGTGGTAGAATTCCTCTGTCCTGAACGGCGCAGCCGACTTCTGTTTGTGATTGCTATATATATATAATCGATCTCCTGAAAATACAGAGAGGGTTGACAATCAACCGATCTATAGTTAGCGCTATCCTTCCATTTGCCACAATTAACACTGATAATCGGCTTTAATATATCTTATTCTTGGACTTTATATGATTATCCCATGATATGTTTAACCCAATTCGTGCTATTTTAGGGCTTCCTAACCCGAGAATGGTTGAAAAACCATTACTGCCTAGTGCCATGAGTTTGATATGTTACAGGTAGAGAAAGCACGAAAAAGAAGCGAGTGCACAAGCAATAAATCGGGCTCGAGTCACTGGTGGAATACTCACTTGGGCTAGGAGATGTTGGATTGTTTTGGTGGGAGGAATTAATTGGGACATGGAATTGGGCTCAAGTCCCAGCGGGATTGGCTTTTGGTGAAGGAAGAGAGGACGAGAGAAGAGTGGGCCTGGATTTTTAATGGCTGGAGGGAATTCTTGGGCCCGGATGAGTTGTCCAGGAAGAAGGGAAATGGCTGGGGGCTTTGGACTAATTTGGACGGAGAGAGGCTGGACAGGGAATGGTTTTTCGGGGGGAGGAAAAGAATTCTCGGGCTGGCAATTAATTGAGACGGACGGAACAAAAAAGCTCGGGAGAAAAATTCTTGGGGCGATTATCTTGGAGAGAAAAGCAGCAGCGCGCAGCAGGGAACAGCAGCTCGGCGATTGGTGTCTTCCAAGGCGACGTGAGCTCTCAGCAAAAACAAGTTATTTGGTTGGATTTTCTAGTCCGAATTATTTGTTTATTGTTGATTTAGAACATGATGATCAAAACTCTAATGTTTTATCTTAATTTCGTCATGAACTAAACCCCAATTTCTGGGGGAAACACCATAGGATGTAGCTATTTCTTGATTTGAGGGATTGATTCATGATTCTTTTCTTCCAATCTCTATTGCATGGAATTGCTTAATGCTTTGTGTTGACTGGCCACCAATACAATGAATCGTAGTTAATTAGGTTATTAGCGACAGTGAAACCCTAATAACTGAACCTATTTCATGTGACATAGTAACTTATCGAAGCGACAGTGGATTAAATAAGGTACTATGCGGTCTTAATTGGGATATCGGTCTTCAGGCTAAATAGTTAATTCATTGAGCTACGACAGTAGGATTTGAATTGATTATTTAGTACGTAGTAATGCCCGACAGGGATAGCTAGCACAGTAGTGATATCCTGGCTGTAGAGATATGGATTAAATTGATTGGAATGTATGAATTAATCAGTATAGGACAGGTAGTGAATCCCGGTGTTTCTCCCAGAGTTTTCTCCCATTGATTTAAACCCGACACTTTAATTTGCTTGTTTTGTTTAATTACTTTGCTATTAGATCATAGTTTCATCTCATTAAACATTTTTCCATATAGTTTGCTCCATAAAAATTGATAGAACTTAAGGTTGTACCAGTCCCTGAGAGACGATACCCGGACTTTCCAGATTACTACAAGATAGGAATTGGCATTGTGCTTTTGCCCTATCAAACACCAAAAAGAGAAGCTAAATGTTTAGTCAATTCACATGTTCCCCTTTTTAGTAATCTTTCGTATTCCCTCAAAACCATCCCAAATTCCGCCAGTGGAATCAGGAAGACTAGCGAGAGTTATCATACCCACTCCACCACTAGAAATTGTACCCGAAAATCTCCACAAATTCTGTTATGAATTTGGGCAGAAGCTTTGTTTTGTTATTCAACGTACTGGGTTAATTTGCAATGATCAATTTGATGATGGGTTTGCATGATTTCTATTTTGGATTATAAGTAGGTAGGTTGCGGGATGAACCGAGAGAAACGTCCTCTGTTCGCATTCGATTGACATGGTGGCGGGCGGCGGGTCAGGGTAGGCGGTGGTGGAAATCAAAACCGTAGTTAATGTCGAATTTGTTTGGACGGAGTTTTGTTTATTAGAATAAAATATTTTTAACAATAAAAAATGAGAAGGATAAAATAATAATTTGTAAGTTAGGGCGATTAAGTTAAATTAGGGCGACAATTAACAACTCTCCAAAATAATACGTGTATTCGGTAATACCACATATAGACAAATTCGGTATGGTATTCGGTATATCCCAAATACCAGTATCAAACTTCCGTCCCTAATTAGGGTTGGTAAACAATTCTCTTGTTTCGGTCTCATTACTCTTTTACTGATTTCAGTTATGTTATATTGGTAAATTTAATTCAGAATATAGAAAAAAGAAATTCTTAAACACCTTCCCACTGTTATTCCGAACAATTAATTGACCACGGTAATTAACGAGGAAAAATAACAAGAAATAAAAACGAGACCAAAAATAGGAAGATAACAAGCAAAGAGCAGGAATAAAATGGGGGGTAAATGAGCTAACCAACGCCGACCTCCCCAAGATGCGTACTTCCTTATCCTCCACCGCAACCTCCCGGCCAAAACCTGCCTGTATCGTGCGCACCCACTCGCTCTTTGAAAAGGTTCAAAAGTCTTTGGCCGGTCAAATAGAAATGGAGCTGCTCTTGTCCCATTTCTGTTTCTTCGCCTTCTTCGTCCTTCTCGCTGCGGCGGCGCCGCCGCACACGATCGTGAACTGTAGCCCGCAAATGTTCGTCAAGCACGTGAATCCACCTGCTCCCTTACCGTCCTTCCCCTGCCTCACTACACTCCTTTTACCCCCGCCCGGTCCGCTGACCATGCTGCTCCCGCCGCCGCTGCTGCTCGCCGGATCGCTCCCGACCACACTCCCGGCGGCGTACACCGGGGGGAAATCCGTCCGCCACCGTTCCAACTTCGATTGCAGCCCCTCCATGCTGCTGCTCTCCATGCTCCACGAGCCCACGACGTCCGAACCCTCCTCCTCCCATTTGTAATTCAAGTTCCGGATCTTCGCCACCGTCGCCGCAGCCACCTCCGACGCCGACGGGCCCAGCTCCGAGTCTGTAATCGGCGGACGGCCCGGCTTCTTGACCGCCATCGGGTTCGAGAATCCGTCCGACGAGCTTGTATCTGACCCGTGAAGGAATTTCGCGCCCGGTGGTAAGGGGATCTGATTCGATTTGCAATCCTTCTTCTTCTGAGCCAAACCGGCGACATCCGATTGACTCCCTCGGGAATCGGGGGAACGGGTTTTGTTGAATTTAGTACCATTCCGGTAACTCTCCAGCCCGGTCAACATCGATCCGGCTCTGGATCTTCCGTTCACCATGGAACCCCCTCCTCCGCCGCCGCCGATTCGATCCGCCCCCGTCTTCTTCCCCTTCCCCGTCGGCGGCAGATCTAGCATAGAGCTGGAATCGCTCTTGGTCCGCCTCAATTCGGGTGTGGGGATCCAAGGGAGCAAGAATTGCTTCTTGTTAGGGATTGCCGAATACATGCTGCTGCTTCCCCCATCGCTGCTGCTGCTCTCGTCCCCTTTCTTCTCGCCCATCAGATCTCGGTACCCGACGGCGGAGGATCCGCAATAGAGCGGCATGCTCCGCATCGAGCTGTCCAGCACGGCGACGCCGACATTGAGGAGGCCCTGCGGGCGACCCGACGGGCGGCGGACCTGGAGCGCGAGGAACCGGTTCCCCTGGCGGAGGACCTTGTTGGGCCGGGTTTGCTGCTGCTGCCGGGGAGGGGCGACGCTGCCGACGAGCACCCGGACGGTGCCGACGAGGACGTCGCGGAACCAGTGGACGGCGTAGATGTCGATCGTGACCGCGGAGGTGTCGCTGTAGAGGAATTCCTCGTCGACCCGGAAAACGAACTTGTCGTTCCATGTGGGTCGGTTGTGACCCAGCGAGTCGACCCGGGTGGACAGCTTGCGGTTCGGGTGGATCCAAGCGACCGCGTAGGTCTTCATCTTGCGGGACACCTGGTGGAGTTCCTGACCCGACATGATGGTCAGCTCCAGGAGCTGGAACGGGTTCAAGATCCGTGACATGGTTGCGACGGCGGCGGCGGCGGAGATGTGGTGGCTTACTTACTTAATTAATTAATTAAGCGATTGGACGTGGAGAATGGACGCCCTGCTCTCGCCGTCCGATGAGAGGACGACGAGGGAAGGGGGCCGGTGGCATGAATTGTGGGAGTCAGGTGAAATGGGAATGGGGAGGCATTTGATGAACATTCTGATGGTTGCCATGGCAGAACATTTTTTTTCTTTCTATTTCTGGCGCGAATTTCTTAAGACCGCTCCTTTTTTAGAGAAGCCAAAATTGCGGGGGAAACAGAAAGTCAAAGGTGGTCAACCGGAATGAATTCTTTTCTCGGATTCCTGCTGGGCTTCGGGCCCAAAAAGATTTCCGAATCGGGTCAGAGTTAAAGCCCGACCCGCTGGCCTGCTCTCATCTCGCAACGGATAAGGCATTATTTTTTTCCCCCACTTCTTCTTCAATCTCCTTTGCTACCATCTCATTGTTCAATCACAAAAATGGCTTCTTCGCATTGATAATCGACTCCAGCTCGTTTCCCTCTTTCCCCTCAAAAACCCAACTCTCGATCCTTGGGACGTGGTGATCAAGTTCCACAAAGCATGGGTTCCAAAATTCTTCCTCAAGCGCTGCTTACGATTCCGATAAATCACGCCGCCGCTCAATCCCCGCCGGCAAGGAGACTGGGGTTTACTTGCTCAACTAATCGCGCCGCCATTCCCTCCTCCGCTTGCTGTTCGATTTCCCGCATTTCCGGTTCTGGGGTATCTCCGAACTCGTTGGCTCTTACTGAACTTGTCGCCGCATTCACCAGACACAGAGTTGTCGCCAGGGCAGAGGCGGAAGGAAGTAGCGGTGAACTTGCAGGAGACGGAGGAGCAGAGCTTGCGGTAGCTGGTGAGGATGTTGAAGGAGAAGAAGGAGCTTCGGTGGAGGGTGAAGAAGTTGAGAAAACACCATGGCAGCCAAGAGTCAGGCTTGGGGATGTTATGGGGGTAACGAACCCTAATCTATTCTTTCTATCTACACAGTTTTATTGGTCGCTATGTGGTGGTTTGCTTCTGATTGATTGTTAAATGATGAGAAGCAGAGTCAAAAGTTCACTCCTGATTCTTATTTGAATTCAATTGTGTTGTTGGTGTTTGAGCAGATATTGAACAAGCGAGCAGTTGAAGCATCAGAGCTGGAAAGGCCGATTCCAGATATCAGAACTGGTGATATAGTTGAAATCAAATTGGTAATTGGTTGTAGGGTTCTTCCTTGGGAGAGTGGATATGGCTTTTTGGGGTTTGCCTCTGATTTTGCAAAGTATGACTTTGCAGGAAGTCCCAGAAAATAGGCGTAGGCTCTCCATTTACAAAGGCATTGTTATGTCGAGGCAAAATGCTGGCATCCACACTACAATTCGCATCCGGAGGATCATTGCCGGCATAGGTGTTGAGATTGTCTTCCCCCTGTGAGTACCTTCTTTGTGGTCTCATTTTGCCATTACTATCCATGGTAGCCAAGTTCTGTCGGATTGTCGTGAACTTATCTAGACCAAGCTTTCTTAAAAGCTGGTTTTATGAACATTTTCTGTCTGGCATGGGAAACTACAAGCTGCACCAATAGAAAATTTACCCTTTTCTTCGGGGTTTTGATGGACAAGCTTTTGAAATTGCTGCATCATCTTTATAGGTAGAATCACATTTGAAAATATTAATATGATAGGCTATTGATCATGAGTGGTGCTGTCCAACAAACAAAGAAGAGATATAACAACTAGGAGTGAGCTATAAACTATGTTTGTCATTTGCAGAGTACCCATACGTATACTCGAGTTTGGTTAACGAACTACTTAACCATCCCTAAGTTTCGCATGCTTAAGCGCTTAGGTTTGTGTTGACTTCACCTCTTGATTGAAACTAGCTTTTGCTTGTAGGAGGGAAAGTTCGTAGGGGTATGGTAATTCCTTGGTATACTAGTAAAAAACGAGCTAGGCAAGGTTTTGAGGCTAGCGATAAAGCTGCATCGTCACGTCTTTGTCGATGTCACCCTCTGCCCTAATGTTAATCACAAATGTGTTTTACGTTGTTAATGTGCAGGTACTCACCAAACATCAAGGAGATCAAAGTAGTTTCTCACAGAAAGGTGAGAAGGGCAAGGCTGTATTACCTGAGAGACAAGCTTCCTCGGCTTTCCACCTTCAAATGAAGACCATCACCAGATGAATATGCCTTTCTGCAGTTATATTGTTTTGGGTTCTTTAATCCCTCCTCCAATGCTTTGAATCCCGGCCTCCCCCGGTTTGTTTGTAAGAATTGAGTTGCCCTTTTCTCCATTTCTTTCTTTTATCAAAGGAAACCTTTTGCTTGTAAAGTCTGGTTGATCTGTCAGTCAATCGACCTCACTGTATTCAGAAAGCAAAGATCATATTCCTGATAGCAGTTTCTGTATTAGACGAGGCCCGGTTTTTTGTTACCCTGTTGCCCTTCTCCTGTAATGTCTTGGAATTTGGTCTCCATTAACTGGAGCGAACTAAGTTCTGGAAGAAAGAACTAAACATTAACTCTCATCTCTCTGAATCGAAAGCAAGCAGCGACGTTCCAAGCTGACGGACTTGCTGATCAAGCTTGTGATTTTCCAACCTGGGCCTCACCGTACGTAACTTGAAGCCTACTCTAGCCCAGCCGTTGCATAATCCCTTCTTTTCCTTCCTAACAGAGACAGCCAGTCATTGTCAGAGAGTCGACACTAATCGGTCTATGGCTGCTTAACAGATGTAGCCATGCAGAAGATTACACGTATGATGAAGGTACACGTGGCTTGTGTTTGGCTCTACTGCTGTAAAAGTAAGCCAACCCATTCACTATCTACTGATCTAATGATTGATGAAATGCAGGAGGTAATGTAATGGCGAATCAGGTGGCCATGCCAATATAATACAATACAGTGGACGTCCATAAAAGATAAGAAGACTCTTATCCTTTAACACAGTTGGTAATGGTGAGCTATCTGTCGTCCAATTCCATCAAAACACAGATCCGACCCCATCAATGATGCTCTTATTTCAAGAACCAAGCTAATCTAAGGTGATATTCAGCATCTCTCTTAGTGTTTTCTCTAATCCTTCTATCTTGTTTAGCTTAATTGGGAAACCACAACTACTGGTTTTGTGCGCATTTTGGGGTTGGAGTGAGAAATCAGTCACCTTGTTCCCTTTTCCAAACACCAAGCCAACACCACCAACCAACGTGGTCTAGATCCGACATCCATGGCAATCCACTACACTAATCCATGGCCTTCTCTCTAAACCAAGAAACTCAACTCTCCCAATGGGAAAACGTAGCAAGCTGCAAAACCTTGTGGAAATGTCAACCAGGAAACAATCAAAAAGCCATATTTGGCTCCCCAAAGCTTCATGTGAGTTAGCAGTCAGTCAATGGTGATACAGATTCAGATTGATTGATTGAAGGTCATATGCATCCCGCTCTGCAGCTTTTACTTTTTAGCAGTTCTAGTAGAAAGCCACCCACCAGGAAAACACCACCTCCTCTCCATTCCGGCCAATTAGTGACACCTCAATAGTTTGACCTGCTGCTCTGCTGATTTTTCCAAACAAAAAAAAAAATCTAACAACCAAAGAGCTTCTTTTCTTTCTCCTCCAATCAATCCATTTCCAGCCATAAGGTGCGAAAAAGGGAGGTTCAATCAATATGCTTCTGAGGACGTCGTCAAGCCCAGGAATAAAAGGAGCAATCTTTACTGTCCTTTCAGAAAGCCCAGTAAGAGACTTCCGCAATCCCACTAGTAATAGCGATAGCAATAGCAATTCCAGCGGCAGGCATCACCACCACCACAAAAACGCGCCATCTCACCTCAGCTTCCCGCCTTTCTCCCCTACTTCTTCATCCTCCTCCAGCGGGAAATCATCTCCATCGGGGCCGAATCGAGAAGCTGGGAACGTTGGGTTTCGAAGGGCTTTGTCTGACAGTAACATTGACAGATTTGCAGCAGCTTCGTTTCCTTCTTGTGAATCCAACCTACACCAACACTCTCCAACTCCAAGGCGGTATCCACCCAGAAAGAGGATGCTCCACTCAGCTCCTTCCTTCTCCGTCTTCACCACTACCGATGAAGAAGTGGGCGAGGAAGAACAGAAAGATGGGGTTTTGATGAGGACCGTGACCATTGGGGAGAGTATTGAGAGTGGGGATTTTAGCTTTGGGAAGGGGAAGGAAAATGGCATGGGCTTGATTGAGGAAGTGGAGGAGAAGGAGACTGGAGAAGAAGATGATGATGGAGATCAAAGTAAAAGTTTGACCTTCAATAAACGTGTGGTGATTCCTCCGAGTCTGAGTTTTGTCGAAGATGAGAACCAACCTGCTAGCCCTCCCATGTATCTTGCTACTGGACTTGGGTTCGACAGTGCTCTAGATTTCCAAGCTGCTTCGTCTTTGCTTGATGAGGGTGGTGATTTGGAAGAGTACTACAGGAAGATGCTTGATCAATTCCCTAGCCACCCATTGTTCCTCAGGAATTATGCTCATCTCTTGCAGGTTACAGACTAATCTGCTCTTTTTATTTTTGCTTGCTTGAATCCTGTTCTTTTGGAGTGGGGCAAAACTGACTCTAAAATCATTTTTTCTTGATTGTTTCAGTCCAAGGGAGACCTCCATGGTGCGGAGGAATACTATCACAGGGCAATACAGGTTGAGCCTGGAGATGGTGAGATCTTGATGCAGTATGCAAAACTGGTGTGGGAGCTCCACCGCGATCAAGATAGAGCAATGGGTTGCTTCGAACGTGCTGCTCAGGCTGCTCCTCAAGACAGGTAACATAACTTCTTTTTCTTCAGACTTTTAACCTCTCGCGTTGTTTCTCCTGTGTATGAATCTGCGGCTGATATTCCTCAATGACTCATGCATGTTTCAGCAATGTACTCGGCGCATATGCTGGCTTTCTCTGGGAAATAGATGAGGAAGAGGGAGATGAAGAGAAAATGGAGCAGAAAGAACAGGTTCCTGTGCCGCTTTCTGCTTTCTCTGCCAACGGTGGAGAACCTAGCAGCAAAGGAGGTTTGATTGTGGAAGATCATTATAGGCAGATGGTTGAGGAGCACCCCAATAATGCTCTCGTCCTAAGAAACTATGCTCAGTTTCTATATCAGGTAAGGGTCTTGTGTGAATTCTGCTGAGGGTTAAAAGGTTCAGACTTTGGATGATAATGAATTGACCTTCTAAACCATTGAATCGCAGAAGTAAAAAAATATGTCACTGTTTGAATTGCAGACCAAAGGAGACATGCAAGGGGCAGAGGAATACTACTCGAGAGCAATACTAGCCGATCCTGGCGATGGAGAGATCATGTCTCGGTATGCAAAACTCGTCTGGGAACTCCATCGGGACCAGCAAAAGGCGTCGTCATACTTTGAGAGAGCAGTTCAAGCTGCTCCTTCAGATAGGTAACGCCAACAAATAATCCCCTTCCCTCTTTACTCCTGAAGCTTGTTTTGTTCTTTCTGTGTGTTTTGCTTCAAATGGAGGTATAGCCTTGGACAAATGTTATTTTGTGTGCCCATTTGCAGCCATGTTCTGGCAGCATATGCTAATTTCCTCTGGGAGTCGGAAGAAGATGAATAAGTAACAGAGCCAGGTGGTCAGCTTCCCGAGTCTGCTCAACTGGAGGGTGCTATCGTTGCTGCAGCTAACTGAAGAATATTGAGCTTACTGTGACAAGAAGAGGGGGCTCTCAATTAGGAGTCCAGAGAAGAGAAACGCGGAGACCAATCTACATGCTATCACTTGCTGCTAATGTTAGAGCAGTCTTAATAAATGTTGTCAATGTGCTTGTTTCAGCTGAAAATAAGAAAAGCTTATGCTTTATCATCTTCATTGTGAATGTGAATGTTCAGCTTTCTTTCTTTTTTTTCTTTTTTTTTTTTCTCCTGTTCCCATGTCCAGTTCTCCCGAGCTTGATGAGATTAGCACAAGGCAGCCAAACCCAGAGTCATTACGTGTTGAATCGAATAGCAGTAGAGTTCAACCCACCGAGTATTTTGACGCAATCAACATTCCCAAAGAAACGACCAACTCCGATTCTTACTGCTTTCTACTGCAGGAAATGATGCCTGAACTTGAATAGCCCCACATAAAATGCTTGCTGAATAAGAAGAGGCGGAAGAACCAATGTATGGGTGTGAGCAATCTATCTGCAAGGAGTTGTTCATTAAAGTTTAAGGCAAGACAGATGTACTAAAATCTGAATTGGATTGCCTATTGGATCTGAAGTATCAGTTCAGAACAAACAAACGAAGTAAACATCATGGAACCTCACTTTCCTAAACAAGTATGCTGCTGCAATCTGAATGAAGATATGAATTGAGTAAAAACATACTATGAATATATCGCTATTGGAACGAAAGGTGATTGCATTAATGTTTGCTGCTCAGGGCTTGGCCCCAAAAAATGGTCTCCTCCCCATGGCTGCTGCTCCTCAGCTCCAGGGACTAAGCTGTATAATCTGATGATGATTCATTTTGTGCTCTGTCTTGGCGCTGAATTGGCCTGTAATATCCGTTTCCTCTCGTTGGTCTGTTGTAGTAATCTCCACCGTAGCTGCCGCCTCCCCTACCAAAACCTCGCGAACCAAAACGGCCACGAGGGGCATCTGCTTGGTAGCTTCCACGGCCTCTGCCTCCTGCTTGAAAAAATTGTAACAAGAAGCCGCAACTTCTATATTATTACATCAAGTGAAACAGAAACCAGCATATGAACAACAAGGGATGAAGCAGAACAAGAGGCAATCACCAAGTCCTAATCAAGTATATAGCAACCATCACAAGACAGACTAGATAAGTAGCAATCAGAATACATACTTCCGAATCGAGGGGGGATGTTACTGTTTGGTCTCCTTTCTTCAATGTAAACCTGTCGTCCTGCTACCTCTGCACTGCCCGCCTGGAGAAGAACAAAGAAACAACATTTGATTGAATACAAAACCAACTAAAGGGAAGAAGATTCTTGATTTTGTAAAGACTGACCTTCACTGCCTTATGAACTCCACTCATGTCCTCGAATTCAACAAATGCATAACAAACACCAACATCCTGCACCAGAGACAGCATTTTTAAGTATTAATACATTGAAGGAAGAATAAAAGTTTAAGTGTGAACAAGGAACGAACTGAACAAGACAACATATTTACGGTAATGTAACAGGACTACAGAAGCAGGGCAGGACCTTGCGACTCCTAATGACAACACCTTCAGGTGCAATCTTGCCGAACTTTGTGAATTCCTCCTCGATCTCTTCTTCAGAGGCAATAGGTGGCAAGTTCCTCACGTATACAGATCGAATTTCATCTGTTAATTAGGCAAGCAGACAGAGTAACAAAATTAGACCCACACTCATCCACTAGATCAGTAAAAATAATATCACATTCATGTAAGAACTTTCCATGCTCTGTATTTGGTGAGGAACGTGAAAAAGATGCTAAACTAACCTTCATCTTCTATGCCTTGAGCTTCATCAACATTGTCAACCCCATAATTGTCAAACGAATTGGATGTCAGGGTAGCTGTCACAGTAGCCTTCTGATCAGTGGCTGGAGAGCTGTGATTCCTTTCTGAAGAGGCTGGTGGTTGCCCCTTAGCAATCCGTAACTGCCAGTAGAAAAGAAACAGATTATCAGTAACACAAAGTCTGATAACGTACATGGCACGTTAGAAAAACTATCCATTAAAAACAACCACAGGGAGTGCGAGTTTTGACATACAATTGAGGCGTAAGTGTGCTTTTGTGGTTCTTCAGCAGGTTCCTCTAGAGTAGATGGAAGGTGGTCTTGAGTAGCAGCATCCGTCGCTGCGTTCTGAAGTGAGCCATTTGATACTTCCACTTGCTCTGCAATGTGTTCGGGCTCTAGAACATGCTGGAACTGTTGTTGTGGAAAGGCATAGTTGTCAACTTGGCCGTTTCCATGTGCCTCGTCACTAGGAGATACCGACTCCCTAGACTGAATCTCTCCGCCAAGCAAATACTTTGAAACTGAAAAAGGTCACTTCCAGTGTTAAAGATTGCAGAATGAATCTCAGCATATACCAAATTGCAATTGCCAGTTATCATAACATAACTGATGGCCAACAGATCTAGGTGGAGAATATTAACAGCAGTTCCCAATTGATAGTCCCTTGTGATCAATGGATTAGTCAAGAGATTAACACACCTGGCTCAGGAACGCCGGTAGGTGGAGGAGCATTGTTAAGTTTGGAATCAAGATTCCTTTGGGCTGCCAATACAGCCGGATAGAGGTGAATCGGTTCCTCTTCAATGAAGTGGAACACATCATTGAGAACAAAATAGCCTTTCTCCTGGGGCGCCAAGAAAAACGTCTCCACAAACTTCCTAGTGCCTCCAAAGTTCTTTGACTGCAGTAGTCCAGAGACCATCACGAGAACCCCGCCACTCCAAGATTCCAAGGCATGTGCTGTCTTGATTTCGATAGCAGTGTAATTAAGTCGCATAATGAGTGAATGAATATCCTGCAAAAGTAGAGAGCCTGTTACAAACTGAGCGAAAGAATCTAACACCAAACCGTGGGGCATTTCATGATAGGTTTACTATAGATAGTCTGCAAAAAAGGGCAACCCACTTCCACTCTCAGCCCATCTCAACCCATGCTATACTCCACTACCGAATACCAAAATGGAAGCAGTCAAGCAGTTCTTACTAAAACAGCACTAGACCTACTAATAGTTAGGTGATTAACAGCCCAAGAAAAGGGGGAAACGATGGAAAAGTTACAAGCATTGTGGAGCCGGATTCTCGGGTAACGCCATCAACGCGAAGCATGCTGCTGGAATCACTGTAGAACTGATGGATAAGTGCCGGGTGAGACTGTAGCACTTGATAGTATTGCCCCACAAAATACGTCCCTACCTAACTCAATCAATCCAGAAAAAACAGCCAGACCCATCAGAACAAGAAAAAAGAAACCCTGAAACAGAGAAAAAGTGGCGGGAGATATAAAGAAGTGGTCACAAAACCTGAGCCGCAGTGACTGGAATAGCGTACGGAGAAGCCATTTCTCCTCCTTTCCGCCGAAATTAACACAGCAAAACAGAACGAACCCTAAACCAGTAAAGGCGGAGCCTTTCTTTTCAGTAGTGGAACCCAAGAAGAACAACAACAAAAAATGCCGCCCTCCCTGCCACGAGATCTACGGTATCAATCATCCGCCACAACCATAATTCCCCGGTAGAGCGTAACAGGGACGGAGACGAAAGAACAGCATTGGGGAAAGGAGAAGTAGATAGATAAGATAGAATGGATAGGTACCTGGAGGGACGGGAAGGGAATCGTGGCGGATTCCCTTTCCAGATAAGATTTTTCGCTCAATGGGACATTTATCCCGACGACGAACAACGACGTTCTGCTTGCTCTGTAACTATGGACTTGACAGCTTCTTGCTGCTTATGCTACTACTGCTACTGCCGCCGCCATGCCCAATCCACGTTTTCGGCTTTTCGCTCCCTCCCATGGAACCGTACCGGATATCATACCGGAAAAGTCAACGGTATAACATTTTATGATAAAATCGTAGTTTAATCGTTACACGGGTAAATGTCGCCTACCAGTTTAACTTTCGATACTGGTATTTCGTGGTTGAACCGTCGGTACGGTACGGTTTCATATACTATACTCCCCACCCGCTGGACTCTCCGTATTCCTTTTTTATTGTCCCTTTTTCCTTCCATTTTAAAGTCTTTCCTTTCTGAAAATTGCTAAGTTTTCTATGTGATACGAATGGGGAGGAGAGATGAGGAGCCGAAGTGGGGATGGTCTTTTAAGTTTGACCCTCACTAGGCACGACATGGAGAGTGTCCGAAAGTGATTGAGGACGAATGGAAGCAAGACCCACAGGCGGATACACTAACAGAATTGCTATTTTGCAGGTCAAAACTTGAGCAATGGAGCCGAACAGCCTTCCCAAACTTTCGAATCCATAGAGAGCGCATCAGGTTAGCTCGGAAGGCGCTCGAACGATCCCGGCGCTCCCATGTGGTAGAGACACAACTCAAACAATTGGACAAGGAAGAGGAGGAGCTTGATCACAATGAAGAGCTGTATTGGAAGCAACGCTCAAGGGCTGATTGGCTAAAAGGAGGAGATTGTAACACTAATTTTTCCACAGGAAAGCTTCAGCGAGACGAAGGCGGAACACAATCAAACAACTGAAAAACGAGAATGGAGCGTGGGTGCGAGGGCATGAGCAATTGTTCAATTGCTTAACATCCTACTTTCGTGTTTTGTTTACTGCAGGGGAAGTGCCGAATGAAACTCCGGTTTTGGAGTCGATCCCACAGACGATCACGGATGACCAGAACGCAATGCTTATTCGCCCTTTCGACAGGGAGGAAGTTGTTTCGGCATTAAAACATATGGGAAAGAGGAAAGCGCCGGGAGCTGATGGCATGTCGGTTTTCTTCTTTCGACGTTACTGGCACATAGTGGGAGATGATGTCGTAGCCACTGTACTAGGGATCTTGGAAACAGGAGTTATACCAGAGAATCTGAATCATACTCTTATTGCTCTGATTCCGAAGGTTAAGAACCCTACTTCGCCTAACGAATTCAGACCAATAAGTCTGTGTAATGTGTTGTATAAACTGGTAGCTAAGATTCTAGCAAACAGACTAAAACCGCTATTGGATCGGGTGATATCGGTGGAGCAAAGCGCTTTTGTTCCTGGGCGGTTCATAACGGACAATATCATGGCCGCTTTCGAATGCTTTCACTCCATGAAAAAGAAGAAGAAGGTTGGTACGGGGTTTTTTGCAGCCAAGATTGACATGGCAAAAGCATACGATAGAGTGGAATGGCATTTCCTATAGGGTGTGATGACAAAATGGGGTTCTCGCAGAGATGGTGCGACATGGTGATGATGTGCGTTAAATCAGTAATGTACTTAGTTTTGGTAAACGGAAACCAGTCTCTGAGCTTCGCGCCGAGTAGAGGTCTCTGCTAGGGTGACCCCCTGTCCTCGTATCTTTTTTTGCTCTGTGCGGAGGGCTTATCGGCTTACACAAAGAAGGCTGTTCAGGAGAAGAATTTCCACGGAGTCCAACCGGCCAGGGGTGCTCCGAGTGTGTCTCACCTTTTTTCACAGATGATGCAGTGTTCTTTGGCCGAGCGAATGCGCAGGAGAGCATGACTCTCAAGTCGATCCTCAAGGCGTACGAACGAGAGTCGGGTCAGCTTGTGAATTTTCAGAAGTCGGAAGTGTCATTTAGCGGAAATGTTAAACCTCATCAGAAGCTTATAGTCAGTGGAATGTTGGAGATGGTGCCAGTTGACAAGCATAACAAATACTTTGGCTTGCCGACAGTAGTGGGCCGATCAAAGAAGGATATCTTCCAGGATCTTAAAGAAAGAGTCCGAAAGGAACTAAAAGGATGGAAGGAGAAGGTTCTCTCGGTGGCTGGACTGGAAACTCTAATCAAGGCAGTAGCGCAAGCCCAATTCACCTATGCTATGTCAGTGTTTCGAGTCCCAGCTAGCATCATAAACGATGTTCACAGCATGATCACTAACTTCTACTGGGGCCAGAAAGGATCAGAACAGTGAATACATTGGGTGCGAAGAGAAGGTTTGGTGGTAGAAAAGGAAGATGGTGGACTGGGGTTCAGGGATTTGGAAGGTTTCAATACAGCTTTGCTCGCAAAGCAACTTTGGCGTCTTTATCAGAGGGACGACTCTCTTATTGCACGCATCTTCCGAGCAAAATATCACAGGAATTCCAACATACTCGACGCAAGGGTGGGGCACAGCCCTAGCTTCATATGGAGAAGCCTCCTTAGCTCGCAGGAATTCTTAAATGAAGGCCTAAGATGGAGCATAGGGAACAGATCGAGTGTCAAGATATGGGGGGACAAATGGCTTCCAACAGAGGATGGCAGATACGTTACGTCGCGACCAATGGGGCTACCAGTGGACTCTCAGATTCGGGAGCTCATTAGCCAAGATGAAGAAAGATGGGATGATAATTTGCTAGAGAGTTGCTTCCCTAGCGAGGTAGCTGCTTTAATCCGCCAGATTCCTCTTCGAGACTTGGGAGAGAAAGATAGACTGATTTGGGCAAGCAACAAAAAGGGTGAGTATATAGTACGAGATGGATACCATCAATGGGTTAGAAAGCTCATACATGAAGGGGTTCTGCATAGTGCAGGTGCAGCGGAGGTATGGAAGAAGGTTTGGGGCATAAAAATCCCCCCAAAGGTCAAGCATTTTTTATGACGTTTTGTGAGAGACATTCTCCCAACATGAGACCACATTAGCACAAAAAGCACGAAATGGGGAGACAGATGCCCCTTATGTGATAACCGAGAGACGCAAATTCATTTCTTTGGTGTATGCGAGTGGGCTTTACGACTGTGGCGGGCTTCCCCTATGGTAAAATGCTTTGACTTACGTGGGGATAGAGATTGCTACGATTGGTTTGAGAAAGTGATGAGGACGGTTGATGAAGGTAGCCTGGAAGCATGGTTTGTTCTTCTTTGGTTTTTATGGAAGGAAAGAAATTCACAATTGTTTAATGGGAGTAAGATTCTGGAGCAAGAGATAGTAGGGAGGTCGGCAGCTTACCTGGAGGAGTACAAGAGGCAGAAAGCTCGTGGGGAGGTGGATGAAGACGGACAGATTGAGAAGGGATGGCAAAGACCAGCTCCAGGCCGAGTTAAAATCAATACTGATGCTGGGTTATTGGAAGGAGGCGGAGCGGGGCTGGGTGCGATAGCGAGGGATGCAGATGGAAAGTGTATTTTTGCAGCGGCGAAGAAGGCCAGGAATGTGCAGGGAGTGGAAATGGCGGAAGCTTTGGCGGCGGAACTTGGGTTGCAGATTGCACACCAACTGAAGCTCGCAAACCCAATCATTGAAACGAATTGTTTGGTCTTGGTGAATATGTTGGATGCAGCACAGTCGGTTCAATCTGAGGTAGGCGTGGTTTTCCAGAATATACGTCACTATTTGGAGGGAATGGGTCAAGGATCATGGACGCACTATTTGCGATTAGATAACTATGCTGCACACATCATAGCGCACTCTGAGACTAGATGGGATGAACGAGTGGTTTGGCTTGACAGACCTCCAATTTTTGTCATTGACCAGCTTGTGAAGGATAATGTAATACTCGTTTATGAGTAATAAGAGTATAAGAAAGGTTTCTATCAAAAAATAAAAAAATAAAAAAATCAATGTATTGTGATCAATGAATGCATTGTTATATACATGTAATTAAGAAAAATGATGTAATGAAGTTTATCTTGTTTGGTTTTAGTAATAGTTATTTTAGCATTCAAAAAGTTGTATTTATTTTTGTATGAAATATTACTTTTACCCTTGTTTTTATGGGATACAGACAAACACTAGTTTGTAGTAATGCTACCCCTCTTAAGCAATAAAGATAGACACGTGTATTCTACTTGAGGATACAAACACTAATTGCATATGTAAGACCGAAGACGAGACTGAGGAGGCTAGACCGACTATGAAAATTTGAAGGGAAAAGGTGTTAAATTGAGCGGGTGGTAGAGACATCCATGAAAAAAGTGAAGATAAGTGAGCATGGGTGTTCCGAAAGAAGAAAAAAGCAGATTAGATAATAAAATCTCAAGGATATTATGAGAATATAGATAAATATCTAGGGATATAATTAGAATAAAAAAGAATCAAACAATCCCAACTAAACTATCTCAACAATCTCAAATTTTACGGGATCGTTTGATTTTGGTTATCGTTTGGTTGGGATAGTTACAATGCATGTATTGTCCACAATGTAGGGGTGGCAATACGGTCCGGTCCGGTTAAATTGGACCAAATTGATCCGGTCCCAGTTCGGTCTTTTCGGGAATATAAGGATCAAAGATTGGATTGGATACAGTCTGGTCTTGGTCCGGTCCTGTTCCAATTTGATCTTGACTTTATGTGTTGGGGGTCTCTTATCCGGTCTTTATACGGGTTTTTTACCTCAAATCTAAGCCCGAATATGAGATTGGATTGTTTGCTATCCGGTCCCAGCCTGGTCCCGATCCGGGTTATACGGTCCGGTTTCGGGTAAAACCAAACAGTCTATACCAAATAGCCAGCCCTACCACAATGCATTGTTTTTTTAAAATTTATACACAAACAATACATGCATTGTTTGCTTGATGTGATGGAAACTATCACTCAAAATTAGTGATAGTATTATCTCTACTAAAATTTGAGATTTTTTAGATAGTTTTGAGAAGATTGTTGAGTTCCTTTTTGTTCCAATTATACCCTACTTGTATCTATATATTCTAATAAAAACAAGGGCAAAAGTGAACTTTCCCACAAAAAGTCATATAGCTAGTTGAATACTAAAAAAACTATCACCAAAACCAAAAAATGGAAAGTACATTACATCATTTACCTTAATTGCATGTATATTACAATGCATACATTGATCATAATGCATTGATTTAAGTATCACCAAAACCAAACGACCCGTACATGAGATATTAATATCACTCATTTTGAGTGATTCTTTCCATGTATAATTAGCTAAAAATCTGTTAAGTACGAACATAAACTATGAAAAATATGAGCGCACATAGTTTAGATAAAAGAATAAATACCTGCAATTCATGTCTAAATTAGAAAAAACTCAAAACATCTTAACAATAACTTCATAAACATAAATCGTAACCCATAAACGAGTTAAGAATCCAAATTCTCACAAGCTGGTTTAAGTTTACATAATGGCATACGAGTTTAATAATCCAAGTTCCCAAAATCAAATCACACAAAACTTATAAAGGATAGAAGGAAAACTACATCAATAATCAATTCATCGGCTTCAATATTTGCATCCAAATCATCATCATTATCATCATCACCACAATTGCCATCAACATCAAGTGGACTATCATATTCATGATCACCATAATCTCTTTGAGCATTAACGCCAGTAGCATCATCACCTTCAACAGTATGACCACCAACCTCTAAATATCTAGCTTGTGGTTCTTCTTCATTATCACTAGCACAAATCCATTCATTATCAGAGTCTATACCATCAAAGTCGATCTCAAGCCTTCTTGCTTTCTTGACAACCCCCCTCCCCCCCCCCCCCACCAATTTGTTGTTGCACATAACATACAGAAGATCATTCATCTTTTGTGCATGCAAATTGTTCTTTTTCTTAGTACGAATCTACAAAGAAAAATAGTTCACATCACTACATATTCACATATAAAAAGAATGAATGATATGATTAAAAGAAAGTAGAGGCAATTTATTACTTACCCTCTCAAATGCACTCCAATTACGCTCGCACCCAGAAGCACGACAAGTCAAACTCAACACCCGGAGGGCAAATTTTTTAAGCTCTGGCACTTCATCTCCAAATGAGTCCACCCATCAGCTGGATGTTGCCTATCCTTTAATTGCATTGCACCATACTTATCAAACATTCCTTGAGCATGACGAAATACAGACAACTGCTCCATTATCAAAAACTTCTCTTCATCATCCTTTGCAAGTCTAGATATGCATTCATACAATCCTATTTTCACCTTTGGATCATTATGGTTAAATCCCTGAGAATGGTGAATTTGAGGATTCAACCAATATGCAGCATAGTGAATTGGTATACTCATTTGATCTTCCCACCTTTTGTCAGTGATCTTCAAAACATGCTTATATCTATATAAAGTATAAATAACGCACAAATTAGAATTTAGAACAATAAAAAAACATAGGCTTCTATGATAAGTTAATAGGCAAAGGAAACTCGGTATTACCTTCTTTCCACATTGTTGAAGTTGCTTTTAATCTTCTCCTTCGCTTGGATAATCAATTGGTTAATTCCTTTTATACAAACTTACTGCTCTAATACGAAAACATAATGAAATATATACTATTCCGTCTAATTTTCTGTTAAGCAGTTGTTAAATAGGCTGGAAATGACCAGAATACTCCCCTCAAATTACCCTTAATTTCAGAGTATAAGAAGGACATTGCCGGTTTTTCATCAGAATCAACCAAACGTAGAACCTTGACTAGAGGTTGAGCAGCTCTAAGGCAATTTGTCACATTTTTCCAAAATCTACCATCAACCATCAAGTACAATTCCTTGAACTCTTTTTCCTGCATGAAGCTTAGAAAAGCTACTCTTCTTCCACTTCTTAGAAGAAAACATTGTCATCAAGGAACCCTTATTGTCATTAAGAGATCTCAATGTCAAATATGATGTAGCAAATCTTGTAACAGCAGGGCTAACCAAATCTTTCCCTTGAGTGAACTCCCTCATCATAGCAATCAACATTGTTCTTGCATAAATGAAATTAGTGATCTTCTTACCATTGGAAATTGTGGTCTCGTGCACCTTAATATGCTTCGCAAGATCCTCTAGCATCAAATCCAAGCAATGAGCAGCACAAGGTGTCCAAAACAAATGCTTCCTTTTTTCCATCAACATTTATCCTCTTGTCTTATAAGTTAAAGCATTATCTGTTACAACTTGGACAACATTCTCTTCCCCAATCTTCTCAACAAATCCATCTAACATCTCACCTTCTGAGCAGTCTTCAAAAAATCAGAATTGTCAATAGCTTCAAGAAATACAGTTCCACGATGACTATTAACCAAAAAATTGAAAAGAACTCGTTGTTTCTTATCCGTCCATCCATCAGACATTATCGTGCAACCCACCTCCTTCCATTCCGTTTTGAAGATCTCCAATTTATGCTCCACTTCGTGCATTTCTTCTTGTAGCAAAGTCTCCCTAATTTCATGATATGAAGGACCCTTAAAACCAAGACCATGCTGAGCTACATCTTCCCACATTTGGTGATAGGTACCACATCTAGTTGCACTGAATTGAATAGCATTTTCATACCACCATTTTGATATGGACTTGCAAGCCTTTTCCCGGAGTTCTTTCTTCAGAACTGTAGTTATAGTTTTCTGTTTGCCAGTGGCACTAGCTTCATTAGCAGTTCCACTACACTCTCCATCATGACTAAAGCCGAGATTATGTAGCTTCCTTACCTTAGTCTCCTTCCCTTCTTCAGTTGCACTAAGTAGCTCTAATATTTTTGCTCTAACTTCATCAGGAACACTAACACAAGCGACAAAGTCCTTGTTTCTGCAAGATGATGCTTGAATTGAGATATACCACGTACTTCTTTGTCACAATACTTGCTTTGGAAAACAAAGAACCAAAGCTCTAATAAAAAAAATTATGAAAAAGCAAGGAATGGATCAGAACATTGGCTTGAATATCTCCGTAGGAGATACATTTCGGACAGTATAATCAATTTCGATCATCTGGAAAACGTATCATCACATCCACAAAGAAACATAACTACTCAAATTTATCCAAAATTTAAAAATAATCAAAAGGGCGGGTTGGGGTGAAAAGAAAACCATCAAAACCCTAAAAAAGAATCCCCAGAAGCAGCATTGAAGCTGCTGTACGGTCCGCATCATGGTTTGGGGCAGGTTTTGGCCGCCCCGCATCACCTGGTGGAGCAGCCTTAAATTCTGTACAATCCCGGGAAAATGATAGTGGGGATAGCATGGAAATATAGCAAGGTTCATCAATGGCATCAACAACCATACACAGTGAGTTCTTTATGCTAGGCTTCTAAACTCCACAGTCCGGTACCACTTTTCCACAGCCTTTCAAAAGGAATTCAAACACTAACCTACCTTTTTTCATGGTGATGCATGGAGGGAGGAGGAAGCAGAACCTGAAATGCGTGAGGTATTCTGTTAATGGCGAGTGCCGGGTGCTGCTGATTGCTAACAGAGACATACCAAAGGAAGAGAGGTTATATTATGATTATAATGGGTTAATGGCGATGAATACGAATATCCAACTGAGCATTTTGTTTAAGAGAGATAGATTCCTTCACAGTTAGACTTAGAACTCACTATGTTGAACAGCTGACCAGCTTACTAACAGAAGAACTGCAATGATTTCAGAATATACATCTCCAAATTCCAAAATCTATACATCCAGCAGCGCTCCTGTTGAATTAACCACAACAATCAAACTTGTCCTTAACACCTATTTCTGCCCACTTTGCTACATAACAGGATCAGAATCCATAGTCTCTGCCTGTCTCTTTTTCCTATTGTATGCCGCTGGTCTCCACATCATAAAAAAAAATTCTTCCTTCGGCGTGCTGTTGTTGTGAATTCATCCATGGCTTGTGTAGCAGTTCTCACCGGTTCGCGTTTTAAGTTCTCCATCGACCATAGCTCATGTTTTCTTTCCTTCTGCCAAGCTCACCCTTATGGCTCGTCCTTCTAATTCCTACATGAACAAATAAAACACCCACCACCAAGTGTTCATTCACGAAATTAGCACCACTCCTGCATAATCATCAGGAAGATAGGACACAACATCACATAATATGCATTAGAGCATTGAACATCATGGTTTTGGTTACCAGTCCATTTAGAGCTTCCAGAGCTGTTTCCATATCTGATTTGCTGGTGTAGCAAACGAATCCGTACCCACGAGACCTTCCGGACTCCCCGTCATAGAGCACTCGGGCGCCAACCACATTGCCATAAGGTTTGAAAGCTTCTGTCAAGCTCTCGGAGGTGACAGACCATGATAAGTTGCCAACAAACAGCTTGTGTTCTGTCTCTGGGTACAGAGGTTCTCTGGGTCGAGGTTTGTCCGAAAAGTTCACCCTGAGGATCCGACCCATGTATTGCTGTACAAAATGAGATGAAAATATGAATCATACAAGCATTGTTGATCTCTCAACTGCAAGCTCAGGGATCGTTTGGTTCAGTCGATGAAGGATTGCACAGCGATAATAAACCCACAACGCAAATGGAGATTTTACTATGATATCGAGCAGCTAAGAACGCAGTAAACTCATTTGGAGAGGTATAATGATTTGCTTACTTTGCCATCAAGGTTTTGGATCACTGCCTTGCAATCATCAACACTGCTCATAGTCACGAAAGCAAATCCTCTGCTTCTCCCTGTTGCCCTGTCGTAGAGAACCTGTGACATTTTGATCCGTTCAATTAGCAGAATGTCCAACCCCAAGTATCAAAATAAGGATACCAACTTAAAACAGGATTTAAGGGGTAAATGAATGAAGAAACCTCAATGAGTTCAGGGCTTCCATAATCCTGAATGATCCCAGCAAGCTGCGCACTATCAACATTGTAAGGCAAATTCCCAAAGTAAAGCTTTGTATTCACGCCACTGCTGCCTTCTCCCGTTTCTTCACCACCTTCAACTCCTTTCTCTTCCTCCGCTGGAGTGGTCTCCACCTCCGCCTCTGCCTCTTCCTGAGCGACGGCCGCCACAAATACCTTCTTGGGCGCCCGCCACAATGCTGCTGCAGCAATGGGAAGAGGAAGATGATCTCCACCGCCGGGAGCAGCAGACAGATGTAGACGAGCTGAGGTTGGAAGTCTGAGGACAGAGTCCGAGGATGGCAGGTGCAGCCTGTTGTTTAGGGTGCTGATGGATGGGAAGAGAGATGAACTAATGGCTCCAGCAGCAGCAGTTGCAGCAGTGGCTGCCATAGCTCAGTTTGGTTCTGGGAAGTGCGGTATCTTGAATTGGATGTTGGTGTTAAAATAAAGTTATGAGTATGGGGAATGGAGGGTTGGAAGTTGGAGCTGGCAGAGATGGGTTTTGGCAGGGAGAAATGGAGATGGGGGAAAGTGGAAAGCTTTGTGCTTTCTGAGCTGACGTGGCAAGATTGTGTCCAGTTAAATGGATAAGGTGAGTTCACCCTGGATTTTCAGTCTGGTTTTCTGGATCAGATCACTCTATCTTAGGAGAGGACTCCCAGTAGAATACGACTTGTCTAAAGGCTGTTTGTTTTGGGCTTCTTACTTGGTTGTAACTTGTAACTGTTTCACTTCTTCTAGGTCCAGAACCAATAGCACCCAAACATCCAGGAACTGGTACGTTGTTTTGAATCAAGCATTATCGAAATAGTTAGCTGAAGGCAAATAGCTCAAACCAGTCTTGCTAACAAGGCTGAACTTCAAACTGATTAAATCAGGAGTTGGAACAGAAAGAATAAGTAAATGATAGGCATGCTTCACAATCATGTCACACTCGAGGTTCATGTCCAGCTGCAAGATTTCTCTCTACGATACATCACTCAAATCAGTCTAAAAGCAGCGCAAAAATTGAGCCTATAGTGAAGGAGGGTATTGGGACTAATCTACCTAGCTATATTAACACTCATATCAGTTGCAGAAGCATATAAGTTTACATTGGCTGATTCATATGCCTGATGTCTGGATCCTAAACTTCACAACAGAGAAGCAGAAAACAAGAGTGTTGTCTATACTGGACTACTGGTCCTAGGCTTTTCAGCCTCTTAAACTGACTTCACTTATAGCACTGCAGAGCAGCATTTGCAGCAAAGCCAGTGTTATAAACAAAAGAGGTACCCAAAAACAAGAACTAATCTCAATTTACCCACTCGACTACAGGTCTTCTGCGAGTCGAAACAGCTGACCCTTTCTTCTCTCTGAGAACACTCTTATCATCAGGTGGCTGATCTTTGGGCTTCCTACTCCTAACTATAGGGTTCTCATCAACGGCTTTCCTCGGCGTGACTTTACAGTGAACATGACTGCTGCTTTGAGTCGAATTCTGATTCCTCAGAGAAGAAGCTCGCTTGCCAGGTTTGACCTTGTTCTTGTTTCCAATCAATGCATCATTTTCTGAGTAGGAGAACAAATCACCAAAAAGGGTCCCATGAATAAGAGAAAAAACTTACTGATCTGAATTCTGAACAAAAACAGATCAAAAGGTGATCTTACGAGGACTAGATAGTACGGCTCGAGGTGGTGGGATTGAACTCGCTCTAATATTTGGTCTATCATCCCCTTCTTCATCTGGGTTGCTTTTCGAGTCTGTTCCTGAACTTTCTGTACAAACTGAAACTGGAGTTGCTGGTGTTTCAGGCAGGATTAGGCTAGGCACATAAGACTTTGGAATTTTGGCCTTGGGACTGGGAGACGTGGAAACATTTTGCAGCCACTTAACTACAAAGTCAAAACAGCTTCAACCGTCAGGAGAGTAAGAATCAATTATACAAAGGTAAATTAAGCTTAGAGGGAGCATCACCATGAAGTGAAAGGGCAAACTATCAAAAGCCTTGTTTATCCCAAGGCTAACTGAAAAATGAAGCTTATACAGAAGTAATCTATGGCCTAGAGGTGAAGAGGTTCATATACAAAGATCATAACTTTTTACAATAAAGAAAAGATCAAGCACGCAACCGCATCAGGTTTAGTTTCCAGGTTCAATCAGAATAGATTAAAAGAAATACTTCAATTCTGGGAATAGAAGTCTGGAGAGGTGACTGGAATTAAATTCGTCAACCTTCATATGAACTGAATAACAAAGCAAAGGGATTACCTGGGAAAAGGGAATCCTGAATGGAAAGGAACTGGATATCCTTCAGCGAAAGCAAGGAGCCCCAGTGCCGATCATCTTCATCTCCCATCCTAACCTTCACCTTCGGATGCACTGTAACCACAAGATAACCCAACAGAACCGAGAAAACAAATCATATCAGAACACACAGAACACAACATATGAGCTCCAGAGAAGTTGATGAACCAATCACAGAAGGCTAAAACCGCAAACCCACTTGTTTATACGATGATCAACCCAGGACGGCAGGACTCGATTGCACGACAGCCGGTTTTCACCTTCTCTAGCTATCTGGCTTACCCCCTTTGATTATTTCAAATTCCAAGAGAAGAAGCCAACGGAACCACAGAAAAGGGACAAAACACGGTGGTGGGTGCTGGAAGGAAGCAAGAAGCAGACAAAAAGTTAGGCTCTTTAGGTGGTTGGTTGGAGAATGTCTGTGGAAGTAAGATGTCGAAGGAATGATGAAAAGGTAGGCCTCTTAGGTTGGCTGCCTCTTCAATCCGTCCTCCGATTGTCAGCTCCGGACAGGAAAGAAAAAGAGATTTTGGGGGATGCAAGCTAGGGAAAGGGAGAGAGACGGAAGCCAACCATCAAAATGTTGTGGTCAAACTCTCCCAATCTGCACCAGTTAATGGCGATTTGATGCATATGTTTAGCGTATCTCTTCGCGTAAATGGGGCCTACCCGCCATTTGTTTATGCCCAAGTTGACTTCGTATCCGATACGGCTCCGATAGAGAGAAGAACCCGCCTTCCTCCCGTTCTGCCACCTTTCACTTCTTTCCCCCCTTTATGTTCTTTTTCTTTTTGGACTTTTGGTTGCTTCCAAACGGTCCGATTCGTTTAATCCCAAGTTTTGATTTTTTACTTTCCGTCGACTCACGACCGCGGCGGACCCAATTCCTGACACTAGGGTTTAACGTTTAAGGGTTCTTCTTTACCTTTTCGGGAGCTAGTCCAGTGAATAGTGAACGAGGAAACGGGATTTCTATGGGGATTTTGATCTGTTTTTATGATTTGGAGAAATGGGTCGTTTGGTTTGTGCTCAGGTGATGTCGTGGCTCAGAGCTGGACGGAACATTGTGTACAACCGGCAGCTCTGCACTGCAACCCACCGCCGTCGGGTGGAGGATGAAGGTGACTGGTTCTACTCCTCCGAGTGGTGGGGGACGGAACCTGATGGCCACACTATTCTGCGCACCGACTCCGATCACGGGAATGGCGTCGTCTCTGTCCTGGGTTCTGGCTTATCCCTCTTCTCGACCCGTAAGTCTCTTCTTTCTCTTCTGTGAATATTGCCATCCAACTGTTCGACTTATTTACTGCCTTCTTTCCCCTATCTTTCTTGTCGCCATATATCTTGATGGTGATTGGTGGTAGCACGTTTAGAGGCTGCAATTCCGTCTCCTTTCCTTTTGATCAGAGGAGCTAAAAAGTTGAGGTCTTAAACCACAAGACGGCTCTCATCCACTTAATGGAATGGTCTGTCTTTTGTCTCCTTTTAGTGCTTTAGGTACAAAAACTCCCTCCCTGCGGTATGGAATCCTTGTCAGCTACTACTGCTGTTTTAAGCAACGGGCCTGCACTGCTTCCTTTATGAACTGAAAACCTCGCTGTGAACTATGGGCCGTTTGGAAATTGTGATTCTTCAAATTGATGTATTAGGTCAATTAGTGTATTATCATTTGATGTATTCATTCAATGCATGTATTAGGAAAATACTTTGTTTGGAAGAGCAATGATGAAACAAAAAGTAGGGTAGACAATCCCTCATTAACAATCTCTCACCTTTTAGTAGAGATTTATAATCATTCATTTTGAGTGATTGTAGGTGGGCCCAACAAAAAGGTAATGCATGCATTCTAACTCAAAGTGAACCAAAAAAACGACTTAATCTTATCATTACATGTATTTGCTAAATACCTCACTTCAAATCTCAACCTCCAAACGACCCCTAAGATTTTATTAGTTGGTGGTGGTATCTGCTGGTAATTCTCTTTCAACCGCTAACTTGTTGTAGACTCTAACTGAATGGCCTAAAACTGAGAGCTGGCTTCAGGAAAGGTATGCAGCTGCACATCCAAGTCATCAGAAAAAGGGTCGTTTCAAGATACTTGGATATGAGTGGCGCACGCTTCACTTTAACGAAACCACACGCCAGAGCACTGCTAAAGTAATGGCCGCTTGGCGCTTACCACGACTCAAAACCTGGCTCTATGTTCTTGATGCAACAGCCTCATTGTTTAGCTGTTCCATGTAAATTGACACTCCTTGCTCTCGTCCATTTCTTCGTGAATTTCCTGCATGTTGTTCAAGCTACAATCTGTCTCATGTTTAGAACCCACCCAATGGTCTACTCGACTCTGCTACTCTTCTAGTTGTGGCAGGAAAATTGCACAAGATCGAGTTGGTTCTTAGACTTTACTTGCATGGTTGTACTTGTGCAGATTTAAAGAGCATGGCAGCGACAGGTTTGAGTGCTCTGGCGTGCTCTGATCATGACCTTGCTGGTGTTGCATTCGGAAAGAAGAAAATGCGTGTATTGTGCATTGGTCATGGTGGAGGAAGTTTGCCCTTGTTCCTGGCCAGCAAATTGCGAGGTAAAGATTCATTTCTGTGGCTGTGTTTGTTCTTTGTGAAAGCATGATATTTGTATCAGTTTGTATGTTATTTGTTTTGCATGCTATGATGTGAGATGTACTGGTGTATTTGTAAATACATTGTTGCTTGGTTCAGTGTATTTGTCTCACAGTCAACGCCTGCACCCAGAACAACGGCACAGTATGCTTGGAGTTGAGCAATTTTAGCTATAGGCCCAAGTATCTCATAACCGTATCCAAAAATAAAGCCCATGAGTAGTTGGAGCCTTGGAGGAAACGGAAGGGCCCAAAGAAAGAGTGCAATGTGACCTATTTTTGGTCCTAGAATTCTCAAATCTCCCTTCCTCCTGCCCCTTTCTATTCTAAAACCTTCACAGGACGCCTCCGTTTCCTCTGCTTTCTTCTTCTTCTCCTGATTGGCAATGGTGGTTCAGGACAAGAAGCGGCTGTCCACGGGCAGAGGCGAAGACGCCGGGATCGTAGCCAGGGCGACGCGAACCTTGTCTGAGTCGCGGATCTTGGGCGCGTCGAAAGAATTGGCCGGAGAGGCGGCGTACGTGGCGAAGAGACTGGCGAAGAGCACCGGGAAGGCGGCGTGGATCGCCGGGACGACTTTTCTCATCTTGGTAGTTCCGCTCATCATAGAGATGGATCGGGAAGCTCAGCTCACCGAGTTCGAGGCGCAGCAATCCCACCTCCTCGGAGCTCCGCCGACTACGATGGCCTGAGTGAAATCTCTTGCATCTTTCCCCTCCTCCCACCCGCCTCATACAAGCTTGTCTCTGCAGAAAAGGGAAGAAGGTATTAGGGTTTTCGAATTACGGAATTGTAAGCTAGGGTTTTTTCTCATGGATCTTCATTCAGCTTATTTTCTTTCTTTTCCAGTACCGTGGAGATGGTTTTAGGGTTTATTGTTGTTGCAATTTGTTTGAGTTCTCAATTCCCAGTGGCTTGTTGCCTCCTGTTGCTGTGATGAGTGTTCCTCATTCCCCATTAGATATAAAAAAACGAAAAAAAGATGAATGCTTGATTTCTGTGAATTGCCTTGAGCTGAATTGCATTAACCTGGTTAGCTTCTTCCCAAACTTTGTCAATGCCTCCTCATAGGGACCATTTTATGGCCCTGGGTTCCTCTGTAGAGGGTTTGTTTCCATTGCGAATTCTGATCTTCCGAAAACCCTGGTTCATTGTCATTCTATGCTCTCTTGGTTTGGCTTCAGTTAGTATCTGACACAGGCCTCTTCTGCATCTTGGATCGGGTTCACTTGGGTGGCAAACTAGCTTTGATCTGTGCATTCCCCGGTCGTCTACTGATTAGGGTTCGAGCATCTTTCTGCTGATTATGTGCTAAACCCTAAGAGGTCTTTAGCTTTATACAGAGGTTGGATGATGCTAAGATATGGAAGAATCAGATGGCATCGAGAGCAAGATCTTACTAGGAAGCAGTCAGTCTTGTCACTTGTGTACGAGAGTGTCAGAGTGAGTACCATGTGTTTTGCATCACAGATTGATTGGCCTGGAGACATTCTGGGTTCGATCCAGTCCTCCATTCAGCATCTACCATGGAAATGTGGTAGTTGCAACTTGCAGTTGCAGGTTGAATTAGTAATCAGTTTGCACCTTGATTGGTGATCCATCGTTGTCATGCTGTGGAGGTAAATGTGAAAAAGCTGTTGCCCTTTGCTCTATGCTGCTTAGCCAATTCGGTTCAGTCGTAAGCAGCAGAGTGGAAGGACAACTTACGTTGTTGTACCAGATTGTAACGGAATTTATATGGACCTGTGTGTAATTTGTAGTGGTTTTGATTCTAACTTTCCTCAATTTTTTTATAGGGTTAATACCTTACTTTGGCCCGAACTATACACATATTTTCTACTTTCGCCCGTGGTATTGAAAATTGCTATTCTAGCATGAATTATGTAGCAAACTTCCTCATTTGACCTGGAGGCGGGTTTGATCGTTAAATTAGACGGTCAAACTTGTTGACCGTTAGTTAATGTCCACCTCACATGCCATGTCAGCTTTGAGGACATAAAATATTTTTTTATTTCTGAATTTTGTGTTCTTGCCATTTGCTAGCCCTTTTTTTCGTTCTTTTAAATAATTTTTTTGATTTATTATTTTTATTAATCGAAAGAAAATAAAATTCAGAAATAAAAAAAAATAATTTTGTATGTCCTTAAAGTTGACGTGGCAGGTGAGGTGGACATTGACTAACGGTCAACAGGTTTGACCGTCTAATTTGACGGTCAAACCAGCCTCCGGGCCAAATGAGGAAGTTTGCTACATAGTTCAGGCCAGAATAACAATTTTCAATACCACGGGCCAAAGTAGAAAGTATGAGTATAGTTCAGGCCAAACTAATGTATTAACCCTTTTTTATATCCAAACCGGTTGAACCCGACAAAAAGAAATGATGAACATATGTTGCTGGTAATTGATCGAAATTGTTATTCAAGTTTGGATCAGTAACAAAATGATCTTTAAAAATGTAATTTAAAGGTGGTATATTATAATAACTGAAATAATTTACATACCTTTTTATAACCATTTTGATGAATTGCCTATGTATTTTTTGGCTGGGTTTCGAAACCCTAGAAACTAGTTTGGTCAATAAAAATTGGGAGGGACGTTGCCTGTAGAGTGTAGATTGTAGTTACGTTTTGATACACAAAAACTAGGCAAAGGCCCAGTTATGTAGGTTTACTTAATTATATGAAAAATAAAAAATAAAAAAACTGCGCATCCGGGGAATCGAACCCCGGTCAGTACCGTGGGAGGGTACTATGATACCACTACACTAGATGCGCTTTAATGTTATTATTTCGTCATTAAAGTATTTAGTCTATAACGCGTATCTTGTAATTTAAGGTTCCAGATTCAAATATGTAATCCAAGTTTAAGAAAAGAACGAAGGAATCAAAGCAGTGAGTTTACGCGGAAGATATTTGGAAAATTAATAGCAGGAGACACACGGTAGGTGGGTTGTTACTGGTTCGGAAAACGCCAAGGTGGGAACGGAACGGATACAACAACAGATAGTCCGATTTATGGCAACGAAGGAATGAATGACAGCTAGCTAACGATCGTTCATTAGCTGGCCCGCCCATATACAACATACACATAGTATGAGCAAAGATTTTGGCAGCGGCAACACAAGAAACCAAAAACCCACATTACATGGCGATGCAAGGAATTGACAAGCTTTCCCCAAATCCAAAAACAAGCGCATCCTCCCCATGTGCTGTTGTTCACGCTCAATGAAAAGGCAAATGATATATATATCCCAGCTGTGAAATTGAAAAAGCATCCAGAGGCAGCAACTGCAGGTATCAGTTTTTACATATTCATTGATTCAACGATATATGGTCCTGTAATCTGTAGTAGTAGATGCAGGGCAGGAATGGAAGGGAAGGCAACATTTAGTTTACAACTTTCTCAACAGAAAAAGAAAGAGCAAATCCAAGGAAGGAGAAGAAGTAAGGAAGAGAATCGAGAGAAGCAAAGCAAAGGAAGGAAGCCAAGCAGCATCAGTCAGTCTGCAGAAAAGAACAAAGACAAAAGACAGACAACAAAAGCATCCTCCACCTCCTCCTCTTCCCACTCACATGCCTCTCTTCCTTGATGCTCCAAAAAGTCCATTAACACCCCACCCCACCCCACCCAACATGAACAAGCTCCATTCTCTCTCTCTCTCTCTCTCTCTCTCTCTCTCTCTCTCTCTCTCTCTCTCTCTCTCTCTCTCTTCCTAATAACATATTCAATGATACCAAAGACATTCTTTCTTTTCACCTTCTCTCCCCAACTTTCTAAAATAAACAAGAGCTACTAATTCATTGCATTGTGATGTATCTTCCCTTGGCCTAATTGCTTCCTTTCCTGACATTAATAATATCCTTCCCAGTCACACTTCTTTCCATTTCCCTTTCCAAATATGATAATAATGAGATTGACAAGGAAGGAAGAAGACCCCACAATCTTTCACCATCCCCCCCATAGCTCAATCCTCTAAATTCTACCAAAACTTGCCCTTCCTCCATTACAAAAATCACCCCTGTTTTTTCCTTCATTCACAACAAAATGTAACCAATCCCACCACCCACTTTTCTTTCAAAAACAAAAGAATTGTTGAAGCCTCCCTCAAATCTCAATCTGCCTTTTCACTTTTCAAGCTCCCTTCTTCCCCCACCACCACCTCTTTTCCTTTTCTCAATAGTCTGCAAAAACAGGAAACCAAACAAAACAAAGCAAAAGCATTACTACATAAACAAAAGATGTGATACTACATTAACTAATCAAACCATAGCAGCAGCAGCAGATACACCAACAAGATCTAAAGTAATAATATTCATCTCTTCCATTTGACATGATGTTGCTCATTGGGAAAGAAAGAAAGAAAGAAAGAAAGTTCATCCATACATACCATCATGTTTCTTGAGCAGATTTCTTGCAAACATAAGGAAGATCACCAAGAACCCTACTCCTGCTGCCCCTCCTACAATTATAGCCACCGTCTTCCCTGTGTTCTGCCCTGTCCCTACACCCACCACCACCATTTCAATTCCTTTCATTCACCACATAAACAAATCCACACACCAACAAAACACTAAACTATCTATATTATACAGATATATACATGGTCCCTTTCTCATCATTAACATTAATCCCCATCCACATCCTGAAAGAGACACCAACTCCGCACCAAATCCTGCTACTAATCTATCACTCAAATCCTTTTCCATTGGGAATATAAAACCCACAAATCAAAACAGCATATACAGCTACATAGGAACCAACCAACCCTAATTATAAATAATCAGCAACATCAATCACAGCCCAACCGCTCTTTTTTCCTTTCATTCTTGCATACCCAGAACAAAAAGGAAGAAACTTTCTTTGTTTTACCTGGTGAAGGTGAAGAATCAGATGAAGAAGAAGAAGACGACGACCTCCTGGGAACCCCATTGGGATAATAGCTGTAACTAATGAAGCACTTGTGGAGATAGATTTGGCCAGAGATTGCGTTCCCGCACTCCACCTGAGCTCTCTGGATAGCACTCTTGGCACACTCCCCACAATCCGAATCCCCAACATCTCCCTCGCACTGCCCCAAAACGTACATCGATTCGTAGCTCGTGGTGAAGAATCCATGGCCGCTCGCCACGCCATTGGCAAGAACAGAGAAGGCGGTGTCCCTCCTCTCTTCGAACCCGCCCCCGGCCGACGTGGACCGGCCGCAGGTCTTGAACAGCATCTCCATCCCGGAGACCTGAGTGTAGCCGGCGACCTCGTAGAGAATGTAGCAGCCGGTGAGCTGAACCCTGGCGGCAATGGCCTTGCCGCACATTTTGTCGGTCAGGACGGGGAGGCCGCTCACGCATTTGTAGCAGTCGCCGACGGAGAGGTCTCCCCTGCACTGGAAGAGGCCCGTGATGGTGGTTTGGCCTGTGCCGGTGGTGGTCTTGAAGAAGTTGGATTTTGTGGATTGCTGGACTAGGGTTCCGAAGAGGGCGGAGAGGGCTTGTGAGTAGAGGCCGCTTGGATCTTGGAAAGCCTGCTTTGAGCAGCCCTTGTAGACTAAGGAAGTGTAGTCTGGTGCGGATTGAATGGGGTTGGAGAAGAAGAGGAGGAAGAGGAAGATGGGGGTAAGATGGAGAATGAAGAACAAGGTGAAACCCATTTTTTTGGAGATCTTTTTCCCTTCGTTTTTCTGTTCTATCGTGTCATGGTGGGGTTTGGAGGTTTTGAAGAAGGGATTGGGGAGGTGGGTTTGGATTAGAAATGGGAAAAGGTTGAAAATTTGAGATGGCGAGGAGCTACTACTAGTACAGTCTACAAGTTGCTGCCTTGTGGATTTATGCTTTGAAGTTCTCGAGAAGGAAGAAAATTGGAAGGGGGGAAAGTTGCAGAGTTTTGGGTTTCGGTTTCTGGTTTTTTGGTGTTTGGGGACTTCACTTTTTCTTCTCTGAAAATGTGCAGAAGGAGAGGGAGAGAGAAATGTTGAGATGCAGAGAGAGGCAGAGTGAGGTCAGGGGAGCATCCTTTTGCACTGTTTCAAATCGCTGGAAACAGAGAAGAGAAGGACTGGGAGTACAGTATAATGAAATATATACGACCATTTGATAAATAAAATATTAGGGGAAAAAGAAAGACAGGAAATTTTCCTTGAGATTGTGAATTATTGGCCACCAATTTGTTTAGTATTTGAATAGAATGAGAACAAAATAGGGCCAATAAAATAATCTCTTGGGTAGAGTAAAATAAAAAGGGCAGGAAGAGAAAGAAAAGTAGCAGTGGTAAAAGAATCTCAGTTAAAGTTTGACTGAAGTAAACGTACATATATAAATAAAAAAACACGTAGCTCATTAGGGTTAACAATTTGAGATTTTTTCATTTTCCTCCTCTACCCACTGAAGTAAAGTGGAGGGAGAAACCGTTGGGATGTTCTTTGTTTTGCTTTATTGATCCTCATTTATATATAGGTTTTCATGGTACCGGACTGAATTTTGAGGTTCCAAGAAACATGTGATTGTTCTTCAATATTGGAGGAGCCTCTTTCGACTGAGTTGGGGTATTGCGCTTTAATAGGAAACATTTGACCGGAGGATGGCGAGGTATGAAATTTGATAATGTAATGGGATGTATAACTTATTGTTGTATAGTTTTTTTTGGGAAACACGTGATAAAAATAGTGAATTTTAGTAGGAAAGAGACATGAATGATGTAACGAATAAAAAATCAGTCTTATGAACCAGAAAATCGAATAAAAAATCGCTTATCCTGCCGGTTTTCGGGAAATGAGCATCTCACAATCGTTGCTAGCTTTTACTTGTCCCGTTGGCCGATTAATTTGCTTCATAAAACTTTCATCTTGTCATCATTGTGCTTTCTAGTTTTTTGCCAAGCCATGATAAAATCTAAAGAAATCAAGAATGAACAACACGATTTGGGATAGGAACCACCGTTCCTGTATCCATAGAAAATGGTGGTAAACACGAACTCACCTGCCAAACTGGTTTGGATTGAGATTTTTATCGGGTATCAGGGAACCATGTGATTATAAATTAGACTTGATCAAAACGGGCCAAAACTTGAAATTCAGCATGTTTGACCGACCCATGCAAAACTCTAATTATTCTTTACTTTTAAACTTTCTATTTGAAAATAAAAAATAATGAAAGAAAAGAGATGACTGCAATTCATCATTTGCACATCACTGATTCGGTGAATAACACTATAGAATTTCGAAAGAAAACTAAAAATGGGTAGGATCATTTTAATGTTAAAAATAACCAAATAGATCTTTCTGTTTAGTTTTTTACTAACAAATACCAAACGATTCCCTATAATATACACTATAATTTAATCATTATGATATCAAATAATTACATAATATATATTTGAAATGATAAAATTTGGACTAATTGGGTTGGTCGAGGTTGAACCATTGAATAACTTTAAAATACATTATATTTTAGCCACTAAGATATAAAATAATAGCATAATATATATTATGCTAGAGAAAATAGCTTATTTTAGAATGACAAACCCATGATGTTCATTTGATTTACTTGATGGGCAAATCCCGTGTAGGTCAGACCCATTCAACTCATTTATTTTATGATTAGCGGTTAGCCCATTAGAATCCATGCATTAGTTTATTGTTAAAATTTTTTTCTTTTTAGCAATAAAAATGAGTATTGTTTTTGCCTTTTCATATATATTTTACCACCACGGAGAAATAAAAGGACTTAAAGTTGAATCAATTTTAGTGTTCACTAAGAATGATAGCTTTACAAATGGGTTTCATTTGGGCAGTGCAATTGGAATATGAGCTTTTTTGTGCTATATATGTGTTCTTTTTATGTACTTTCATCTCATAAGATTTCATCTTAGCTTTATGTATAATGATAATTATTAAAAAGGACTCTTCAATATTTAGTGTACTGTAATATGGGTGTTTTTTGTTAACTCACTTTATAACTTTATTTTTACAAGAATTTTAACTTACATATAATAATTTCATCATTACAATAAACTCATTTTTTTTTATTTGTTGTAGACACATTTATATACTTTATGTCATAAATAATTTGAATATGTAAAAGTTAGTTTTTCATTTCGTTGGTAAGGGGTGAAACTATATGTTGTCTTAGACCATCTCCATTCCTGCAATAGGTTAGCCATTTCATAAATGGACCCCACATCCACATCACCAACTTTAGCAACTATTCAATTCAACCATTTCAAACCACCTACATCCCTGCAATAGGTTAGCAATTGCAATTGATGGGACCTACTACATATTCTTTTCCTTAACAATACATTTTATGTGTACAAAGTGGATAGAAAAGAAAGAAAGAATATGAGTGCATGAATGTGTGGGTCCCAATTGCTTATGTGGCATTGCAAAGGGGATTGCTTATTTAGCAATCTTGCTAAATAAGAAAAAAGTGCTACATCCTTGCAATTGCTTAAAGCTATTGCCACATAGGATTCCACCCAATAAGCAATTGGATGGAGATGGTCTTACCATCACTCAATTAAGGAGAGAAGACTATTTTTAACATTTTTATCTTCGATCTTTCTTTATTAGAAACATATTAATCTATTCATTTGAAAAATTAATAAACATTTTTTGTAGAAAATTCTATTGGATGATGTGGCACCATAATTAGTAAAATATACTATGCATACATTGTGTTGTAGATACATGCGAAATTTTGTATGTCATTTTAACATATTAATATGCTTCAAAGTTTGACATCAGTTACAAAATGTTAGAAATATATATATGTAATTAGTACGTGAAGTTTCGCATGTATGGTATGTAAAAATTAATAGATTATCAATTCAATTCCTTAAAATATGTGTAACAGAAGTTTCATATGTAATTAGTACGTGAAGTGTTAAATAAACTGATAAAAAAGAGGTGACTCTAGACTATGAGGATGAGAGCGAGAGTATTAATTTAATTTTTTTTATAACAATGCATGGCAAAGGGGCAAAGGTGTGACATCCACATCAACCAAGGCAATAACGCATTGCGACAAAAAAAGATTGAATGTTAATATCGACGGTCAACCAAAAATCAAGAACATATCCATCATTTTAAAAATTCACGAAAAATTATATTTCAAAAATTTTGATCCAAAATTACCTTAATTGTAAAATTCCAAACCAAATTATGTATTAAAAAATCAACAGCAAACAAAAGACAAGACAACTATTCATAAATGGTGCCAATGGTACTCAAATCATAACTGCATCAAAGCGCGACAGACGATCTAAGTATTAGTATGTAATCATTAAACTCCCCAATGAACTCCACCACCAAACCCTCATATACCATGCGCAATAAGAAAAGGAAAATTATCATGTAGCGACTCATCTAGAGAGCAATACAGAAAGTTGTTCAACCCTTCACTATAATAGTTGGCTACAAAGAGTTTCGAGATATAAGGAAATAGGACACTCAATATTTCTTGAAACAATCCCGCTATTTCACTCAAAAAAAAATCTTATATATACTCGTAATTGTGAAAATATTTCACAACCAAAACCCACATAAAGAAATAACTCATACGCGAAGTAAATAGCTGAAGAAGAGACAATGAGATTAAATTCTCATATGCTCACCTCCCAGTCAACATTACAGGTATTCAACAATTTCATTTAACCGATCACTACCACCCTCATGCTGACTGTGTATTGTGCCCTATTTATCCATAAAAAAATCGGGATTTTTCCAGAAATAGCACCTTTTAAAAAAAATTACAAAAATAGCACCCAGCCGAAAAAATTTACACTAATAGCACCCTTTTTTATGGACCGCACCTCTAAGGTGCAGTTTATAATCCTGGACCAAAACTGCATCTTGGCCAAGCGGTTTTAGGTCTGACCTACAGAAACCGCTTGACCGAGGTGCGGTTTTGGCCTGACCTAGCAAAACCGCACCATGGAGATGCGGTTTGTTTCTCCCAAACAAAACCGCATCTCCAAGGTGCGGTTTTGCCAGACAAACCGCACCACCTAAAAAACCTATAGAAACTGCATGGGCCTGCATGGCAGACGAAACCTGCGGTTTTCATCAGTGATTTTGCCTATAAAAGACTTCCCGGAAAACCACTTCTCTTCACACCTCTCCTTCTCCCTTTTCAATTTTCTGTTGTAGCTCTATATTTCTTTAGTAGTTTTGCGATTAACGTTAACTCGTAAGTTTATTTTGTATTACTTTTTATTGTTTTTTTTTTCATTTTTCATTTTTATGATATTAACTGAACTACGGTTTTTTCGCAGATGGCATTCCAAAAGTTCACGCTTGGCTTACGGTGGAATGGTTACAAGGAAGAGACCGGAAAAGGCGTCACCTACGTCGGTGGCAATTTTCAGAAGATAAAAGTCGCTACCAGACCGCTGCTTGAAGACCTCCATCAAATGTGCACTAACGTTACTTGCATGGATGGCGCGAGAAGAGTTGATCGTATGGTGTACCGATATCCAAACAGAGAAAGTGGGTCATTGTGGCATGAGGAATATCTCATAACCACTCAGGATGAGGTAGATGCCATGCTCGAATTCTTGAGGTCCAACAATCTTTCCAAAGCCGAGATGTTCGTTTACACCGAGCCGGTCGTAGGCATTGGAGGTCATTCTGGACACGTTCAAACATCTGGTATCCATGGAGGAGGTGAATTATATGGCGATCATCCCTACCAAAGTTACCATGATCCTCATTCCTATTTTCAGTACCAAGAGCAAGGTGAAGGTCATCATCAATCTTTCCCGTCATATGAAGAAGAAGTTCAACCGGACCTCCCCAACCAACCTCAGTATAACTTCCAATCAGACAGCGGTAGTTTTCACAACTACCATTATGGAGCTGATGAAGGTGTCTTTCATGAGCTGGATCAGATGGAGGATGACCTACGATCTACAAGAAAGAAATGAGTAACTTAAGATAGTCAGAATTGGAAGAATACATGTAGTCCATGGAAAAAAGATATAAATGGATCGAAGTATAGAAGTTACCTCTCCTTCCCAAAGTCGCTCAAACCTCCTCCGATACTCGTCCAACTTGTGTTGGGCAAGGTTGTCGCATGTTGTGTGTCCGAGCCACCTTATTAATAAGACAATAATGAAACTACAATAAGCTAAAACACAAGGGAAAATGTGTTATGAAAAACATGATGGGGTATGAGAAGTTTACCTTGTACCATAAGCTTCACCTCTTAGGGGATGATCGA